TTATTACGACAAGCATATGTTGCTGAAACCAATCGATCTGCGCAGTTGGGAGTTGATGACATGCATCAACTATGCCAGCGAGTCTGACTACCCGATCCCGTTATTACGACAAGCATATGTTGCTGAAACCAATCGATCTGCGCAGTTGGGATACGATGACATGCATCAACCATGCCAGCGAGTCTGACTACTCGATCCCGTTATTACGACACGCATAGGTTGCTGAAATCAATCGATCTGCGCAGTTGGGATACGAATACATGCATCAACTATGCCAGCGAGTCTGACCACTCGATCCCGTTATTACGACAAGCATATGTTGCTGAAACCAATCGATCTGCGCAGTTGGGAGTTGATGACATGCATCAACTATGCCAGCGAGTCTGACTACCCGATCCCGTTATTACGACAAGCATATGTTGCTGAAACCAATCGATCTGCGCAGTTGGGATACGATGACATGCATCAACCATGCCAGCGAGTCTGACCACCCGATCCCGTTATTACGACAAGCATAGCTTGCTGAAATCATGCTGATTTTGACAAATTCTCGATTACAAATTTGAAACCTGAACAAAAGAACATTCTGGAATGGCTAATAGATGGTCTAGATTGTATGGAATCAGTCGTTAAACCCGTAACTATCGTTCGGAATACCCCGTGTTAAAGTTTTGGAGGTTGCATGATTAGAAATCCCATTCCGACTGTCACTTTCATAATCTGGTAAGCGACTCTCTGTTTGGTCGGATGAAAGGTCGTTGTGACGTGACCCCTAATGGGATGTCTTCAGATCTTTGTTGAGCGGTAGCGAGAACTTAGTTCTGACTGTAATGAGATTGTGTAAATATTTAAGCACCTGAGACGCATGTAGTGTTAACATGAAATGATTGGACTGTATATGATAAGAACAAATGAGAGTATTATTGTAGACCTACACAAATCAGTTTGAAGTCAGTGAATGTTGTATAACAACCGGCGGCTTGTTAATGATCGACTCTGATTCGGGTGAACAAAAAACACGAGCAACGCCATCGGGGGATAAGGCATTGTGGTCATTTCCATGGAAAGTCTGTCTTACAGTCCCTGAACCATATTACATTCCCTTGCGCCCAGCCCTTACTGTGATGCGATATCCCTACCAGGTACATCTGTTTGGTTCTACTAAGCTGAAAGTGGAACCTGAGTAATGTCCAAACATGTGGTTACATTTGTACTCTTGATAATAGAAATAGACTAGAAATAAAGGAGACCAGTGAGACTGCCTTGTCTGTTTCGTATTTAGATCGATGCATAGTGAGTGAATGAGTGAGTGAGTGAGTACGGTTTTACACCGCTTTTAGCAATATTCCAGCAATATCAAGGCGGCTTACGCCAGAAATGAACTTCACACATTGTACCCACGAGGAAATCCAACCCGGGTCTTCGGCGTCACGAACGAACGCTTTATCCACTGAGCTACCTCATCCCCTCATCCGGACTTGAAGTCAATAGTTAAAATGTCAAAGTGTTAAAAGGGCAGCCGCCTTCCTTGACTTTAAAATAGCTTCTCCATAAATACTTGAATATTTGAATGTTATAGGATGTCATCAAATATTAAGCATGCATACTTCCACAGATGGTCAAAATCTAAAAGATCGGAATAGTATGTGTTGTGTACTGACTGCGCACATACCACACGTGATTTAAACATAGTTTTGCTTAATGAATCTGGATTGGTAAACAAGCCAAGAAGACTTATGTTAATATCTATCCAGTACAAGTTGTGTTCATGAAGGCAACATACAAAATACAATATACAATTACATGATGGTAGCCTAAATGTTATTGCATTCTGAAACCAAGAGGCGATAAAAGTGCCAAAAATAGTATTTCTTGCGTCCATAATGAAAATCGGAAGAGTCCACTTTCACATTCAGGTGTCATCATTGGTGGAAGCAATCACGCGCAAAGGTTAAATCGAGGTCGTGGTTGATTAAATCGCCCAAAACGGTACATATAATGTATTGGGCCAACCGGCTACTAACCATATAACAAATTTAATTACATTAGAAAAATGGCATCATGGGTGAAAACAAGCATGTGAAATTTCAGCTTTCTGGTCCAATAGATTCTGAGATGAGGTTTACAGGCACTAACGACGACGAAAGCCGGACCAGCAGGTCAGGACATATCCTCGCTTCACTTTAAGCTTCGTGAGCTACAATACAGAATCTCAGAACGGCTGACTACTACTGCTGTGCTAGTATTATGGTAATTCCATACACTATTTACGTCTACTTTTCAATTTTCATATCTCACTAAAAGTCAATAGAATAATGATAATTGATGGCAAAACATCTACCTAAAATATTTGTGATCACACTGAAAATAATAAATAATAAAACTAAAGATGTAACGAATACTAAACGTCGAATGTGTGACATCAAAAATGATTGTATTGCGATGATAAGACGAATGTGCGTTAGTTTACATCAATTATTCAAATTAAAGTCCGAAGGATAATTTGGTGTGAAGTGTCTTCGATCGCACCATTCCTCATTCCACAATAATTGGTTCCTCGGCAAAGTAAACCACCATGAATGATTGATATAACAAATTTCGATTTCTAAATGTGACAGAATAACGACTTTTACATAGAATCTAAATAAAGCGACGAAACGCTTTCCATATCCAATAGAAATCTTTGCATTATGCAGAGTCGAGTGTACGATTCCGACTATACCATAAGCAAATATTTATGAATCCCTATTAAAAACTAATGATACCAGGTGTTCGCAAAACGGTAAGCATATCCTGTCCGACATGTGGCGTCCGTCACAAAACACATGCAAAGGCAAGCCAATTGTTCACCTAAAAAAAAACATGGTACAAGTAAAAATAAGGAATTGCGTCAGACATCATTTTTGTCACTGATGCGTCAAATTTGGAAATGTTCTCGACATGTCGACCATCACACTTTTTAAAAGTTTCACTGAGGCCTTGAATGTCGTAACATTGATCAAACAACTTCTGAGCAAGAGTCGTATGACGCACTTTGAAATCTTCGTAGAAAGAGCATGCTCGATTGTATCTCAAAAGTTGTGAAATTTGAACACCAAAGGCCGGAGCTGCTGGAATATTGCTCCACGTGAAGGGAAAGTTGACTATTGGAAAGTCAAACCTCTTTTCATACAGTCTTGGGGAGAGTGGTTTGTCACTCTGAATCTTTGTGAGGGGTCGGTCGGGTAGCCTAGTGGTTAAAGCGTTCGCTCATCAAGACCCGGGTTTGATTCCCGACATGACTACAGTGTGTGAAGCCGATTTCTGGTGTCCCCCGCCGTGACATTCCTGGATTATTGCTAAAAGCGGCGTAAAATCATACTCACTCACTCACTGAATCTTTATGCATAGAACTAAATATGAAACAGATGAGGCGGTCTCACTGGTCTCGTTTATTTCTAGTTCAGGTAGGTAAATCAGTGGAAGGGAATTGGCTACTTGACTGTTATTGAACAGTATGAGATCATCGATATTCCTGAAGTTTAAGTTAAACTTCTTGGCCAAATTACCCTGTTTTGACTTTGCCAATCCGAACAGAAATTCCGATTCATACGCATAAAGAAACAGATCCGCATGAAGGGGAGCACAATTGGTGCCCATGGGGAATGCCTACTTCTTGCCTAAATGTCTTACCCCTAAATTTTACATAGATGTTATCAATGAGAAAATCAAGCATTTCACATTTTGTTTTCTCAGTAAACTTTAAATGGAATTGCTTTGCTTTCATTTTTCACAAATTGTCCTGAATCTCTGAATATAGATACGTAACTGCATCTGTGTTCACCACCTTTTGTAATAAAACCCCAATGAATCAAGGAATGAAGTGTTTCCTTCAGTTTGTCATGTGGGATAGTGGTGCACAAATTTGAAAAATCAAATATTTTGACAAATGGAATTTTGTTCTTTTCTGAGATTGCAAAAAGTCAAGCAAATCTTTTTGAGACTCCACATGGTATTAATTCCACTTGTCTGTCTCAAATACGTTCTGTGAATATAAAGAAAGTTCTTCATTTATTGTATTAAAGGATTATGGTTAGTCTTTGAGGCAGGGATCTGTGGTGGTACATTTGCTGGACCCAGCAATATATCTCTCTCTATGTCATTACAGACCCTCCCCGAAATCTGTCGTCTTGCCTTACGTTGACGTTCGCATGACGTTAGTTAGGACACCTCCACACACATCGATGCTTATCCAGAAAGTCCATACTGAATCTGGACTCATCCTAAAACATGACACGATACCTACAGTTTCTACGCTCAGAACACCAATGGCGTATCTCTCATACACCTATAAACACCAGTTTCGCGATCATTTGACTGGTGTCGCGTCGTGTTGAAAGGTTGTATATTTTGAAAACATCCATATCACAAAATTGTAATAGTTTGCGCAGTCTACATCGAACCAAGAAACCTGCTTAACTTCAACATAAGTTAATAACTCCACAATTGCCAGTGTGTGGCCCAGTCGTGCAAGGTGCCGTATTTCGCAGTCCAGAATCCTATGGTCGTGGTTTCAAATCCCGATTCGCCCTGAGTGTTTCTTGGTTGTCAGCACCATACACACGCTCCTGGGTTTCACTGAAGTGATACACGTCTAAGACCTGCATCACTTGGAGCTTTCCTTATACATCAAGCTGACACGCCGTGATATAACTAAAATACTGTTTGGCGTTAACCGAAATCACTCCCTCTCTGCCCTATAAGCTAGCGCACAGTTTTCTTGCTCGACAAGAGGTATAATACATCCCCAGATATCCAAACTATAATGATCTAGTAGTCCTGGCTGAATACGTATCATCGCAACCGATGGTGTGGATGCCCACGTCTGAATGTGCTGCATCATTTATATTTCAGACTGAGACAAGGTCCTCATCAATATACAAGCGGAATATTTTGACGAAAACAAAGAACGATTTTGCAACTTGAAACGTGAATTCATCATGACAGTGTCAGCAGATCACCTCTGGAAAAGTGATCTCCGACTGAAAATGGCGTCGGGTCAATTGTTAGTTCACAAGTCTGTATCTGTTGTGACGACTTGAGTAGTGACCCAAAAGCTAGACAACGGCGCCTAATTGATGACACAAGATGGCTGAGGACGGATTGTGGGATGCCATTCCAGTTCTGTCGACGCTGGGGCAACCTGACTGGTTGGTTTGGAAGTCGATGGGCGGCAGATCTGGCGAAACAGCACGCCAAGAGAGTATAGGGATGTTCTATTGTTCAATGTAGCATGTGTGACCACACATGCAACGCGAGGGCGTGCATTGTCCTGCTGTTAAGTGATGTGGCGTCAATGGGTCTGAAGGAACGAGACGACGTGAGGATGGAACCTCGTCACGTTACCGCACACCTGTCAAATTGCAATCAATGATCACTAGAGGGGTCCTGTGATATGAACTGATTCGTCCCTACACCAATACGCTCTCAACACTGAATGCAGAATGTTGAACAACACACGCATAGACGTAACGTTTTTTTCATCTGACGTCGATTAACACGGTGAAACCTGGACTCACGTGTGATGAGGAATAAACTCTCGCTTGTGCTCTCGTTGTCTCGTGGATGTCGAGAACGCTGTTGGTGCATCATGACCCCAAAGTGAATATGTGTTACGATGAACACGAAAACCCCTAGCAAAAAAACAAAAAGCTTATGTGCAAAACAGTTACAGACCCCTGGCGTACCATCAACTCATCAAAGACCCCAAAGACCCCAATCAGCCATAATCCCGTACTTTACATTACTGGCTTCATCCTTTGTTTCATGGCACTGACTTCACCGATGGTCATCATCACTGCCCTTGTGTGTACACAACAGGCTTCTCTACCCCAGTATAACAATATCTACCCTACTGTATAAACATTGCCTCCTCTGGTATGTATACTTGCTTACTGCACTCTGTATAATCACTTGCTTGATAACGGTGTTAGAACCTACACCGAAACGTCGCTCTTAATTGTAATAAAGAAGTTGTTCATCCATAAATTTCTTATCCTTACTTAGTACTCCAACTTCTAAATGCCTATCAAACAAGTTAAAAGTCTTCAACGATTATCTCTATGTTCGAACTGACTCTGTCCCACGTGTAGTTTGAATGTATGACGAATTTCGTACACGTGCAGTTTCAGGGTCCTCATGGGCAATAATGACGCACTGTTTGTACATGTGATTAACATGCATGATTCTATAAAACTCCATGGCAATTTCATTTTATTGTGATGTTTCCCGCTAATATACCCTGACCTGAAGTATGACGAGATGGTCATACACTATACCAAAATGTAATCTGTGAGACTATACATGCTGAACGATTGACACCTTATGAAGCTTATATTATTCGAGAAGAAAGTATGACCTGATCGTTGACGATCGCTGAATGCTTCAAAGGCCAAGTTGTGTTTTGTTTGTTTGTTGTTTGTGTGTTGTCCTGGCAAATAACTGTTGTCGGAAAATAATCTTATCTAGACCAGACAACACAGTGACATAATGAGCATCGATACTTGCAATTTGGATACAATGACATGCGATCAACCAAGACACCAAGCCTGACCACACAATACATTTGGTCGCTTCTCAGCAAGCATACGTGTAGGTTGCTCGAGATATATATTGATATCTCAAATCTCCACCGGTGGCCAAGCCATAACTGTGACCTTCTGTCTTCACAATGCTTCCAGTTGGTAGGACGTGCCAACTCGTTTCGCGAACACCTGGTCTCACGGTTCCTGATTTCTGTGAAGTTATTGTTACCATTTTGTTGTTTATTTTCACGTGACATTGCCATGAGTATGAACACATTTCATGTTCTGCGTGTTGATGCACAAAACGTATGTCTAGACAAGTTTATACTTCGTTTGTCAATATTTCAAACGTGGTACTTCCAAAATTGATTTTACAGTTTTACGGAAAACTGATAGCAACATATTTAAATATTTATTCCATAAAGGTCATAATGGCAGAACAGTGTAGCTTTCTGAAACAGAACACCAGACATAAGCGATCAACGTAGCACGGATTTTAAAGGAACTGTTGGAGCTGGTTGTTTAACCTACATGCCTTAAACCGGTCTAAACCTACTCTGGCTCTGAAACAAGTTACTATGTATGTCAGCACAGTTATTATGTGATATGGATAATACTAACCTCTAGAGGCTTTTGCTTTATCTGAGTACAGCCGACTTCGTATGTGATGACCTACAAGGTATTTTGGGGTATATTCGAAGTTCGTTATTCGTGAAAAATAACTTTGGTTTCTAATGAACCTATGTGCATTATTGCAAGGTCTAAAATGCTGTGGATATGAAACAGATAATTGTTACTGTGGCAATATTTCAACGCATACAAAAGTTATGCTATGTTTGTTTGATCCTCATGTCTTTTATGTGTTATTTGGATTCGATTAACTTACCGCGTCATACCAACAGACGTTAAGAGAAGTTGTTGTTACCCTGCCTGGTGTTCGGCATTAAGCGGATAAAACAAAGACTGGTGGGTTCGGAGTCAATATACTCTCCACAAGTTCATGGTATTTATATTATGAGGGCTGACCTTGTTTCTTTTTTTCGGATGGTGTCTTTGTCACAATATTAAACTTTTATATATTATATACATATTACATTTTTTTATTTATACATTTCCGCCATACACAGGGTCGTCAATAAAGAAAAAAGAAAAAAGTTTAGGCTTTTAGTTTTAAATATCTCATTCAGAAACTGACGGGCAAAATTAAGTTTACATTTGAACATTGGATCTGACAAACACATTACAAACGTTATATCAAACCGTTACTATGCCGAACACATTAAGATAAAAAATGCAACTATGATACCCGTATAAAATACATCACCATTTGTTCCATTTTCAGTCAGCATCAAACATGGAGTATACTTTCTTTTATCCGGCAGTTTAGTTGACAGTGGAGGAACGTAACGTTCAAAGAAGACTACCATGTCCTCAGTTTCATGAATGGTGGATCAATACATCGGGCGAAAGGTTTATCAAAATGCACATATATGCGGTTCGCAATTCTCCCTTACATCACTCATTTTGCGGGTGGAACAACAGACGGGATTCAAAATTAAACCTTTTTGTGTATGTTATATGATAAACAAACCCTTTTCCAGATCTTGAATTAAAACGTAAATTACCACTTTAAACACAATAACATAAATTACAATTCACCCGCTTTTCAAAATCACATATATTATACTGAACCGCAAAAGAAACGTTACCCCAAGTAACATTGCATGAAATGTTGTCATTTAAATATCTGGGTAATTTTTGTCAAAGCTTCTAAAATTTAACATTACCTTGTCCGGAAAAATGAAATTTGATAACAAAAACACAATTGAAAGCAGATGACAATAAAACCAATCGCCTTAACGTATCAAGTCAACGACAATGGTAACCCGATGCACGTGAGTTCCGTGCAAATTGAAATACACATGCGTTCCCCCATTTCTTGCCCTATAAAAATCCACCCAGATCGGATAACATCCATTCGTTATTGAATTGCTACCACATGCCAAGATTGACAAGGAATCAGCGACACCAAGCCCTTGGACGATTGCAAGCTGGACAAACCGCCCGGCAAGTAGCCAATGCATTTCAAGTCCACGTAAGGGCCATATACAGGCTCAAACAACGGTACCAGACAACCAACACTAGAGATGACCGACCACGTAGTGGAAAACAAAGGGTACCGCCCGACGTCAGGATCGTCAGATTGTGCAGCAGCATCTTCAAGATCGCTTTGTTACTGCTGCGGAAACTGCTCGACAGACCATGACAGCACACACCAGCGACACATTAGTGCGGACACCGTGCGTCGACGATTGACGATTGCACCTCCACTTACACAGGCCACACCGAGGACCCATTCTGACACCACGTCATCAGTGGGCAACACAGCACCAGCAATGGCGCCACCATTCAGGCGACGCCATTGGGAACGTTATTCGGATGCTTGTGGTGTTGAAAGAAACTCCTGGGGTGGTCCGAGCATCCTGGTGTGGGGTGGAATTAGTCTTGCATAGAGGGTCGGCCCGGTGGTCTTCATTAATATCGGTCCAGGGAGAGGCAATGGTGTCACAGCAGCTCGGTACATTGATCAAGTCTTGAGACCACACACCATACCTCATTTGGCACGTCGCCGCAACCAGGAGTTTCAGCCTAATAACGCCCGTGCCCACTACTGCGAGAGCAACAGGAGACTTCCTCCAACAGACTGGCATCAGAACCGTGCAGTTGCCTGCCCTCAGTCCCGATTTAATTCCCATTGAGTACCGGTGGGACGAGATTCAAAGACGGCTGAATGACGTCCGACCAAGGCCGACAACTGCTGCGAAACTGCGTCAGGCGTTCCCCAGAGTGTGGGCTCAAGTGTCTATGGCCTTCATCAACCGCTTCATCCATTCCATGTATCGACGTTGCACGGCAGTCATCAATAAACATGGCGGACACACGAGATACTGACTTGTGATGCCATTTTCTCAAAGACAAGTGTTGTGTTTCACGTTAAGAACATTTGACACAGTTGACTTTAATTCAAACCTTGATAATCAGTTTTGCCAAGTTTCATCTTTCTCATATACTTTCTAAGTATGTTTAAAGTGTTTGGACAAATCAGGTTTCTCATAGATCTATCCATTGTGACGTTTCTTTTGCGATTCAGTATACAATCCACCCCTTTTTACAAATCCCGCATGATATTACACCGTATCAGCTTTAGAAAATTACATATATTACAATCAATCCCTTCTTAGAAACCCATGTATCAAGTACACTCGCTTTTAAAAATCGCACATATTACGATTCACCCGCTCTGAAATTCACATTTTTTATGATACACCGGCTTTTAAAAATCACGTATATTACAATACACTCGCTTTTATATATTGAATATATTACAATACACCCACCTTATACAATAACATATATGACAATACACCCGCCTTTAAAAATCATATATATTATGATACATGTATACCCGTTTTTGAAAAGCACATATATAACGATACACCCGCCTTTAAAAATCACATATATGACAATACACCCGCTTTTATAAATCACATATTTGATGGTACACCCGCTTTTGAAATATTTAGTATGTTACAAGGCACCGCTCTTAGAATTCACATATATAACGATACATCCGCTTTTAAAAATCACGTATATTAGAATACACTCGCTTTTAAATATTACATATATTACATTACACCCGCCTTTAAAAATCACATATATTATGATACACCCGCTTTTGAAAAGCACATATATAACGATACACCCGCCTTTAAAAATCACATATATTATGATACACCCGCTTTTGAAAAGCACATATATAACCATACACCCGCCTTTAAAAATCACATATATTACAATACATCCGCTTTTATAAATCACATATATTATGATACACCCGCTTTTAGAAATCACATATATTATGATACACCCACTTTTATAAATCACATATATTACAATACACCCGCTTGTATGAATCACTTATATTACGATACCCCCGCTTTTAAGATATCACATATGGTACAATACACCCGCCTTTAAGACGCACATATATCATAAGACACATTAAAAATGAAAAAGAAAGCATGGATTAACGCCGGGTTGTGCAATATTCCGGCTATACCAGGACGGGTGTCATTGTGAAAACAGCTTCGTATGACACCCGTTGTACACACTGTTTCTCTAGCACAAACACCATTCCTGTAGGAGGTTGTATTGTACCTAGCAACGATACGATATATTGTACATACCTGTTTGACCCAAATGCAGCAAGGCCACCTGGAAATGAAAGAATATCATACACCATGTGGTAGTTAAATATGTACCTGAGACAGGTATCTATCCGTCTAAAACCTGATAAATGACACCAAACACTTGGGAGAATACTCACAGATAGGATGATAAGCTGCACGGACTTGGAGGCAGCCATCAGTGCGGTCACTGTGCGCTTTCTGCTTCCCGTCGCACAGGCACGGGTAGGAGTAGCAGGAATAGGACGTCACAGCAGAGATGCATTCTGATTGGTGCACGTTACCATTCTGAGACGAGGAGATCATATAGCCAAGCAAGACGAACAATTCGTATAAATAATTCCTAGAATCCAATAGGATCTGTTCTTGTCCTTTTGTTCAATTTAACGCCTTTTAACGTGCCAATCTTCGTGAATGAATATGCATTGTCTGTGTGTGTGTGTGTGTGTGTGTGTGTGTGTGTGTGTGTGTGTGTATTTTTGGGGTGGGGGTGATGCGCGATAATCTGAGGTCGGTGATAATGTGGAGGTAAAATGAAGATTAAACGGTTACATGAACATGAATCGCTATCAACTATAATAAATTTGGAGATTTGTTATTAAAGATAAAAATATGAAGGACATGTATTTTGTTCAAATTTTATCACGTCATAAGCATCATTTGTAGTTTTGCTTTTGACGCCAACTCGTCCTCTCCATTATTGGAAATGAGATAGGATGACCGTCTGACCGTGATGCCCATAAACAACACAGCCTCAGCAATAGACATCGCTATACGCGAACCAAGAACAATGTTGCCCAAACTCCAAGGCACCAGCTATCAGATCATGTCTACCCGAGACAGGATGTCCGTTAAAAATCAATGCAAGTAGAACGATAAACCAGCCTTGACATTCCTGCAGCACCGACAGGTGCGTATGGTTTTCAGTACATGCCGTGAAACGGGTTCTGGCGGTGTTGATTTAAGTTCCTAATATTAAAAATATATGTCGCTTCTTGCATTCTAATAGGGAATATATTCCCGTCACTCGCATTCCGTTCAGTTAGAATAGGTCTCCAGCAACCTATGCTAGTCGTAGGAGGAAAGTAAGGAATCGGGTGGTCAATCTCGGGGACTTGGTTTATAGCGTGTCATTGTTCCCCGACGACGTGGGTGGCTGTGTTCAATATCAAACACTGGGTTTTCAGATCCAAACGGGATTATTTACATGCTACCTTCGCTTGAATTGGTTCAGTTCGGCATTAAACAAGAAAGAAACAAAACAAACATATTCTTATGGTACATGAATTGTCCCCAAAATAAACATCACACATTCTGTCCATGTTGGAAATCGAACTCGGTTATTCGGCGCGACAAGCCAACTCTCACATACGCCAGGCATGCATGTGAATATTGTGCATGGATAATACATGTACGTGGATAGTGTCATCTGCGACACCTGGTTAATTATAATTATACAACGGAACATAATAAATAAAAGCGAATACCCTTTCTATATTCATAAGAAATCTCGGCTAAAAGCAGAGTCGTTTAAACGATTCCCACTGTATCACGAGCATGTGTTTATGAGTGAGTGAGTTGGGTTGAACGCCGTTTTTAACAATAGTTATATCGCGGCGTGTCAGCAGGTCTCAGACGTTTACCACTTCGGTGAAACCCACGAGCACGGGTATGGTGCTGACAAACCTAGAAACATAATCGGGGCGAACCGGGATTCGAACCCACAATCATAGGTTTCTGGCGTGCCCAAAGGACGCAACTCTGCACAGCGAATCGCGGCGCTTTAGACGACTGGGCCACCCGTGCCCCCCATGTGTTTATGAATCACTATCAATATCAATCATGGTGATGATACCAGGTGTTGGCGAAAAGATGAGCGTATTCTGCCGCACCGGTTACACACGTCACAAACACATGCAAAGGCAAGCAAATTGTTCATATAAACAAAAAACACCAGACATATGATACAAAAGTATGAGTATCAATATATTAACTATCATCCATCACAAGTTCTTGAGACCATGTAAACACTCGGCATCCAGTATGTGTCACAAATATTCTGTCAACAACATATTATCTCAGGGTGTATGTGAACCATGAAATAATTATCATCAAATTGAAATTGTTAACGTTCCAATGGTAAACGTTAACTGTACGATTTACAATCTGCCGAAAGGGGTATCCTCGGTCTGCAAGTAATACACATCAAAGTTGTACATTCGGCTTCACACGGGAAACGTAAGTTTGCAAACTAATGCCATACCGACGCCATTATGAAGCAAATCGATGTAGAATTTAATTAGTTGTAAGCGACCAACATGTTTGGCAACCATTCACACGTCAAAATCGTGTTCGATGACAAGATGTTGGCCAACATATTAGTAAGAATAGAGATCGGTTATATTTCAACTGTTTATCAATTTTCACGAAACATTTTGCAAACTGTTTTTGCAGTGTTCACACACACGAACCTACGACAGTAAACGACAACAGGTAAACGTAAGTTTGTTGTTCGATCCTGAAGCCACATTGTTTTTGGGTGGTTTAACTGAAATACGATTACTGACCCAAATCACTCAACTCCTATGTTTCGTTTTAGTGTGGGATTTCTGAAAGGCGAGGTGAGGTGAGGTGAACTTGGGTTTAACGTCGCGTAAAAGATTATTTCACTTATTAAGTGCACGTGTGTGTGTGTGTGTGTGTTTGTGTGTGTGTGCGTGTGCGTGTGCGTGTGTGTGCGTGCGTGCGTGCGTACATGCATGTGGGTATGTATTTTTAGTGTGTGTACATGTAAGTGTGTGCTTGTACTAGTCTGGACTTTGTACTAGTCTGGCCGATTTCATAGTGCCCACTGAGACACCATTCCGCATTTTAACATGGATACCTCACTCGGACACAGTATACTGACTCCGAAGAGGCCAGTCCTTGTTTTTAATCGCCGAACTCCAGGCTAGGTAACAACAAATCCCATATTTTAACGTCTTTTGATATGACGGATCGAACCACCAACCTTGGGTTCTCTGGGCAGACCACAAGACGGTCGTTATTTCTGGAGTGAAACCACCTTATCCGAATAATACTTTATCCCACAGTTTCTTATGGGAACGCTCACATGCATGCCCAATTACAAGTAACACTGATTTGTTGAAATGGAAACTGGGGGCACGGGTGGCTCAGTCGTCTAAAGCGCCGAAATTGGAGTGGAGAGTTGCGTCCTTTGGGCACGCTAGAAGTCCTTGACCTTGGGTTGGAATCCCGGTTCGCCTCGATTATGTTAATATCGCTTTACCGAAGTGGCCAACGTCTAAAGCCTGCATCGCTTTTGTGTTTTCCTTCTACAACAAACTGGCATATACTTGTTATAACTCGAATACAGTTCAAAACGGCGTTAAATCCAACTTACTCACTCACTAATACGGAAACTTGTTAATGCGGACCCTGCCCTATGAACGCCGACGGAATGAACGGACTTCACCAATGCATCCCAAAGTAGAAAATTGTATTCATGTTTTATTTACACTGCTATTGTCTGCAATAGCTTAAGTATCAACGATATTATAAAGAACACAAACTATTGACTTCCTTTTAACGTTAGTTCCATATTGACAAGACAAAGTAATGATAGATGGTCATTTATGGAGTTAATATCGCTTTCTTCCGTTTGTTATAATGTTTCGTTATAAACTATAAATTTCTCATTTAACTCGTCAATCGAGACTTTTTTTCTCCTCAAAGTGCCATTTTTGTTACCTTACATGAGTGAATTCCTTCGCTTTCAACAGCGGTCTCGTAGCTTCAAGGAGATTGTTTTAGGTTGATTTTGTATATGATCATATTCAAATGTATGATACAGAATTTTCGTGACCTCAAATATGTTTTATTACTTTTGTTTGTATGTTTCAAGATTTTACATTTATAATGAAAAAAAGACTTCCGGTTACAACGACATAAAAAGTATATAATTAATAGGATATTCCATGTGTCGAGTGAAATATAATATTTCTCTCATCTCGTGACGGGGGAAAGTAGATATTGTCTCTGGATACATGGAATATCCTCTCTCTCTCTCTCTATATATATATATACATCTACCTGTTCAAAATGTATTATATGTTAAAGTCGACAGTACAGACCTGCATGGTGGAATCGATTTTGGGTCGTGTATTAATAATATAGCACGGAAACAATGGCAATGAATAATATGACTTTTTGTTTTATTCATTTAATGTCGATAATCTTCAGATTCTGAAATGTCAGTTGTATTAACCCTGTACTCGAACAGAGATAACTCATGTCTGGAATTTGGAGTAGTGTGAACAAGTGGTCTTGAAAATTGTGCGACAGGTGTCCCAGGAATCTGGGAAGAGGTGAGGTTAAATAGGATTTAACGTCGCGTCCAAGATTATTTCACTTATGGGGATTGGGCGTGTTGAGAACCAGGCGTCAAGTAGTTGTGTGTCGGATAACCCAGGAATCTGGAAGTCTTTGATAGGCATTTAGATGAGGTGAGGTGAAATTGGGTTTAACGTCGCGTCCAAGATTATTGCACTTATATAGCGACGTGCATGCACGTGTATGTGTGTGTGTGGCTGCTTGTAGTAGTCTGGACTGATGCCGATTTATAGTGCTAGCTCACTGAGATACCATGCCGCAGTTTAACATGAATACCCCACTCAGACACAGTGTACTGACTCCGAGCCGACCAGTCCTTGTTTTAGCCCCTTTATGCCGAGCGCCAGACAGGGTAACAACAAGTACAATCTTTTAACGTCTTTTTGTATGACGCGGCCCGGGATCGAACCCTGGACCTTCCGCTCTCCGGGCGGACGCTCTACCACAAGACCACGGAGGCGGTCGGCATTTAGATGAAGGAGCAAGAAGTAGTCCTGAAACATCGTACAAATAAGAAGTTGCTATCCATGAAACAGTGTCATGTATACAGGAATCTGGAGGTTGGCGTAATGTGAACGAGTGAGTGAGTGAGTTTGGTTTTACGGTGCTTTTAGCAATACTTTAGAAACATCAAAGGAGCTTAACACATTGCATCCATGTGGGGAATTGAACGCGGATCTTCGGCGCGATGAGCAAAAGCCGTAACCACTAGATACCCAATCGTCCATTTTTCGGGTTGTGAACAAGTTGGCGAAATGTTTACCAGAAGTGGGAATTGGGGGTAACTTTAACCAGAAGTCGGAGTATGGCTTACGTAAGGTGAACCAAAAGTAGGAGCTTGGCGTAATAGGAACCAATAGTCTGGTGGGTGCTAACGATGGGGCAGAACATGCCCACCCTTTTCGCAAACATCTGGTGCCAAGACTGATTTTCAGTGATCCAGGGATCATATTATTTTAACCGCTATTTTGCCTTTTACGCCCAATGTGTCTGTAAACAATGAAAGATCCGGATTAGAATTGGTTTCAGCAACCCATGCTTGTCGTTATAGAGACTAACGGGATCGGGTCGTCACTGTCGCTGACTTGGTTGATGCATGTCATCGTATCCCAACTGCTTAGATCGATTCTCATGATGTCAATCACGGGATTGTCGGGTCCAGACTCGATTGTTCAACATTGCTGAGTGCGGCGTTAAACAACAAACAAACAAAACACATTAAAAACAACTACACGTGCTGTCTGCTACTGTCTGTTTTATTGACTCGATATAACCTTTAACAATGCAACAGATGAGTAATTCTCTATTCAGAGATATCACTATGGACGGACGCAATAAGGAAAATGGTTTTGCATCAATGAAACAGCAGTTTTAAATATCACAGTATCTGGACGATGAAACAGCAGAATCACAGTAAATGAATAAAAAAATTGGTTAAAAATCAATATGGATGTCAGAAAGCAGCCGTATTTCATATAAACCTGGTGACTGATACTTCAGCTTCAAAACTTCACAAAACCCGTGTTTTGTTAAATACCGTTATTACAAACGAAATTGAAAACATCGATAAAATAATTCAATCAGATTTCTTGGAGAAAAATTCATCGACTCTGAAGGCCATGGAACAATGGGATTGTATTTTATCGTGTAGATGTATGACAGGGAGTTCTAATGTGACATCAGTCTATCACAAAGTACCAATAAAACTTGAAAATACAACATAATAAAACAGTAAAACATCACGTGTTTCTAGAGTATCTCATTGTAACTTTAATAAAAGAGATAAATTATTGCGATTTAAATTATTAAATAGAGATAAGGCTTGACTTGCGACATGTTCGTGAGATAAAGGTGATTTTCAAATAAGTCTGAAATAACAATCAGATTCACATAGGAAGTGTAAAAATGTTCTGTTACAACTTCATTAAACGACTTTGTTTGTGAGCTACTGGTATAACTTTGACTTTAACAGTCGTCATCTTGTAAATTGTACACAAAAACTTGAGAGAGAACTCGTGTAGAACTGGCCTGTATAATCACTGGCAAATGCAATACTGGATCACACCGAAATGGTTTATCATATAAATGTTGAATTGTTTTCTATTGAGATACCCGCGTCGTACTTGTGTAATAGTCTATACAAGAATCTTCTTATTTCAAATCGTTATTAACTCAACGTGAAGGACGTAAAGAAACGATGCATACACACGGACTGAACTAAACATCAAGTCAGTATGACAGTATAGGCAAAGCAGCTATTACTATGACCATTCTTGTGGTTGTTTGGACTAGCGTTTGGCCGGTAGTCACTACTGAGTGCGTGTGTGTGAACTAGCCTTAGCCCACACTTAGTGTTAATTTATTCTGGGGCCGCCTCTTGTGCTGCCAGGGGCAGTTGGTCTCATCATATTCTTCATTGCCATCTTCTTGGATTCTCCTTTGCTTTCCAGCAGCGCCCCTATGTTGTCGTCCATGTACACGTTGGAAATGGAATTGAGGAGGCGGTCGATGCGGTCAGGAAACTCCTCCACGGTGGGCGGCTTGGCTACGTCGGTGGCGTTGGTTGGTGGAGCATTTGCTACGGTCCCTAAGCCTGTCCACTTCTTGAACCGGTTCACCATGAAAGTGACGATCTCGTAGTCATTGTTCTGCTTGTTGATGTCCACGCGGACGGAAGCAAAGGTCTCGTTGAGGATGGAGAGGAACATGTTGACGAGGATGAAGGTGCACGTCACGACAAAGAAGAAGACGTAGACTTGGGTAAGGATTGGTTCCACCATCAGCATTCCGTAGATGTCAAATTTGCCCATCATCATCAGGATTCCGGACTCAGCTGCGATGACCATTGTGGTGAAGGCAGAGCTGACGTTCTTGAAAGTAAGGTAGAACAGCTGCATGAAAGCCAGGAACATGATCCAGAAGAGCACACTGAAGTGTATGATACTGTGGGCTCCGTTCTTGAGGGTAGAAGCGAGGAGGGACATTCTCTTGTTAAAGCGCAGCAGTTTCAGGAATTTCAGAGTGCCAAAGAAGACCAGCCATCCAATCATGTACGAGAAGATCTCATTCCAGTACCCAGCATATTGGAACTTCATGTATTCGTTGCCATGGTTACGTTTGAACTCGTTGGTGAGGGAATTCGTTACTATCAACCGGTAGAAGTAGACCACGATAGACGAAACCGACATTACAATGATCGATATCTCGACAAGATTCCAAAATGACTTAAAGTAATTTGTTCTTTCTTTTAAGAATGTACGGAACTCCTTGACAATGAATACAATCGTGAAGATAAAGTAGATGACTTCACACACGATCTGGAACAGCATCACCGACGTCATGTACGGCAACAGCGTCGCAGGTTCAAAGCGAGACGACGTCAGGACACCACCACTTGGTTGAAACTCGGCTAAAATGGTAACGATTGCGAACAGGTTGACTTGCGGGTTGTAAACCGTAAACTCTACAAATACAGCGCGGGTGTATTTATCTATCCAATTTTCCTTCTCAAGTTCTAACATTTTCTTTTCAAGCGTGGTTTTCGATCCTCTGAGCTCAACAATATAACCGCCTCCACCGTAGACTTCCAGTAGGCCCAGGTAAGGATAACCGTTCAAGTCCGAGGCAGTTCTGTACGAGTACTCCATTCTCGCTGTTTCGTTTACACCTAATGGTTTCCAGTCGGGAGCGAAGCTGCCTTTAGACTCGCTGAATAGGGAGTATGCCTCGTTACACTCGGTAATGACTGTCTGCATCACGTCGATTGTCTCGCATAAACCTGCAACACGGGCACATATTTGCTTAAATACAGAAGGTAAGTGCATTTCATTCACATAGATTGATTTGTTGTTTAACGCCGCACTTAGCAATATTCCAGCTATATGACGGCGGTCTGTTAATAATCGAGTCTGGACCAGACAATCCATTGATTAATATCATGAGCATCGACCCACGCAAATGAGATACTATGACATGCATCAACCAAATCAGCGAGCCTGACCACCCGATTCCGTTGGTCGCCTTTTACGACAAGCATAGTCGCCTTCTACGGCAAGCATGGGTTGCTGATGACTTATTCTACCCCGGATCTTCACGGGTCCATTCATATAGAAAGTGGACACATTTCAGTTAATAGGTTATGGTATACTTAACAAGACACAATTACCCATATTCCCGTCAGTACGAAATGTTATTGAAAAATAAATTATTTTGAATATTTCAAAAGCAGTGTTTGCATAGTGATTACGTTTCGTATGAAATGTGTTTCATAACCAATCGAAATGGTTAAACTGTAGATAATTTTATCAGAACTCCTTAAAACACGAAACACGAAACCTTCTTAAATAGTGGTTTATTGGTTGTTTAAGAAAGATATATCGATGTTGGACGATGGTCAAATACACCGCTGCAGCTATGGGTGATGGCGAGTGAAAGATTCACGAGTATATAATTGAGTGAGTGAGTGGGGTTTAACGCCGATTTTAACATTATTCCAGTTATATTACGGCGTGTCAGCTTAATTTGGGAGGAGAGCCCGAAGTGATGCAGGTCTCAGACGTTTACCACTTCGGTGAAACCCACGAGCACGGGTATGGTGCTGACAAAGCTAGAAACATAATAGGATCGAACCGGGATTCGAACCCACAATCATAGGTTCCTGGCATGCCCAAGGGACGCAACTTTGCACAGCGAAGTCAACTGTGATCACATGAATGCATCATTGAGCAAACATTGATAGTAAAGTCGATGATTTTGACCAAACAATTGACTAGCAAACTGCATGCAACAAATCATCAGTCCAGAGAATCATCCTCTAATGTACACTTATTATTGGAATTGAAATCAAAACAAGAAGAAATCTCAAAATGCTTGCCCTGAAAAGCCACCTTCTGTTTTAAAATGTGCGAAGGTTGAGAATAGGCCGAGAAATAAAAACAAAGCACGAGCACAGTTATTGATTCAGTTACACCATTTCAAGCAGTGTTTTCTTGAGTTCATGTTCGTGAAAAAATCACCTTGTATCAGTATGGTTAATCTTGTTTCCATAGAAACCGAAAATCCCGGCTCTAATGGTTTATTAATAATAAACTGAAGCACCTAAACACATAGCGGATGAGTGAAGATGGATTGTGATAATATAAGGAAGACCAGATGGGCAGACGCTGGAATCCCATATCTATAGGGCCACAACGCGATATCAGGGGATGTTTTATAGGATAAGCGTCAGTTTTGTTTCTGTGTTGTTTAACGCCGCACTCAGAAATATTCCAGCTATATGACGGCGGTCTGTTAATAAACGATTCTGGACCAGACAATCCAGTGATTGACATCATGAGCATCGATCCACGCATCCTACGACAAGCATAGTCGCCTTTTACGGCAAGCATTGGTTGCTGAAGATCTATTCTACCCCGTATCTTCATAGGTCGTTTAGGTCTAAGACCTAGGTCATAAGGTCTGACCTGGTTCAACTCTGAGTTGTCTCATGGTGGCAAAGCCCATCATCCTCGACACCTTGTCGCCTATGAATCCTCGCAGCATGAGCGGAGGGTCCTTGTTGTAGTAGCTGCTGGCGCGCACCGCGTTCACCATGCCGCTCCGGGCCCATTTCCAGTACTCCTCAGCGTTGTGTATCTGACAAAGAATTATTCCTTTACAAACATTGAAAATCACAAGAGTAACGTGTGTGGACTAGAAGGGTACAAGTACAGAATATATGCTTTTTTCCAAACGTATTCCGGGTCCGAAAAAAACTAGCCCCGAGAACTCTTCACGAGTCGATTGGTCACAATTGAGCTGGCCCATGGTGTGTCTTCTTACATTGACGGCTGTTCGTGCAATCAAATACTGGTCTGCCTGGGTATAACAGTGAGTGAGTGAGTATGGTTTGACGCCGCTTTTAGCAATATTCCAGCAATATCACGGCGGGGGACACCATAATTAGGCTTCACGCATTGTACCCATGTCGGGAATCGAACCCGGTTCTTCGGTGTGACGAGCAAACGCTTTAACCACTAGGCTACCCGACCACCCCTGGTTATTACAGGCAGATATGGTAATGGTCTTGTGGACAGCGGCATAAAACAACATCAACTCGCTCACGTTTCCAGAACCCCCTATTCGTGGTGCCCCAAGCCCCAATGACTGGGATAATGGGAAACGTCGCGTGAAACCAAACCCACTTTATTGCTTCGAGCTCTACGGTCATACCTTGGTAAACCATTGCAAAGTGTGATTGTTCTTGATGATCATCTTCTCCAGGGTGTCCTTGTAGATATAACTGTTGGGGTTCCTGCCTCGGTAACTTATGACCATCAGAATCCACAGGAAGAAGGAATAGAAGACAAGCTCTCTGACGATTTCCCACATCTTGATCTCATTCAACCTCTGTTTCCTTGCCCTCTCAAGTTCCTCCGGATCTGGCGGTTTGTATCCAATCTTTCGTGGGCGAGCTGCTCCGAATCCTCCTGGACAGAGAAAAGAAAACATAAATAAAATTGTTATTTCGTGCAAATGTAACTTTCAGTACTTTTGATGTCAAATTTTGTTTTTTAATCATTGTTAAACTGAAACTATGCCTCACTTACGCCGTTACATTTGGACGCGGGTCAACCTGCACAATGATTGAAAAATGAAATCTTGCAATTGTATATAGTGTATTTCATCCGTACATCAGTCGATCCGTATTAATGCCTAAAGTTTCCCGGACCTAGTTCTCTATTCAAATGTAATGCTAGGACTATTATGAGCTTATGTTAAGTAGACCAAAGGTTCCAAGAAAAGACCAGGGCCCAGTTTCAAAATGCAATATCATCACTACGACTGTCGAAACGTTAATGCTGTAACCAAAACCAGGGTTTCTTTGTGAAACGTGGTCCCGAAATTACAAGGATGCCGTTCCACAAAGCGATCTTAGCGCTAGGAATGTCCTAAATATAAAACGTCAACGCAAGAGAATAACCAGTCTCGATTATCCGCTAAAAGAGATTCCATCGGGCGTAAAAGGTAAATTGGGGTTAACATTATATGAATGGATCACTCCCGTTCTATAACGCTGACGATGGTCGTAGCGCGAAAGATTGCGTTGTGAAATGGAGCACTGGTCCTTTTGCACAGTGACCACATAGCTATAACTGCATGTACAAGTCTATTCCCTACAGGCGTTACAGTAGTCTTAGACTGAGTGAGTATGGTTTTGCGCCGCTTTTAGCAATATTCCAGCAATATCACGGCGGGGGACACATGAGCTTCACATATTGAACCCATGTCGGGAATCAAACCCGGGTCTTCGGCGTGACGAGCGGACAATAGTTTTAGAAGTAAGATCAGTTCGTGCAAGTGGGGCCAGGTGTTTAACTCACCAGTTTCAGCGCCTGCATGGAGGTACTCCTCATCATATTCCAGCTTCGGCTCCTCCTCATCCTCAGGCTTGTCGTCTTCACCCTCCCCAGGGTTCTTCCAGATCAGCGAGAAGATGATGGCGGTCAGGAACACCTATGAAAGAAGAGAAAAAATATATAACAGATTAGATACTTTGAAAGCAGTCAGTTAATTTGGTAATGGAACATTTTGTATCATTTGTAGAATAACTGATGAAATGTATTTTCTGAATGATTTATAAAACAATCATTATTTACACCTTATTCGAATCCCAAATTTGTATTCTTGGTTTGTTACCACCATCCCGATTGTGTTGAACGCCCACTGCAAAAATGACCTCCCACAAATGAGTGAATGAGTATGGTTTTACGCCGCTTTTAGCAATATTCCAGCAATATCACGGCGGGTGACACACGAAATATGCTTCACACATTGTACCCATGTCGGGAATCGAACGCTTTAACCACTAGGTTACCCGACCGTCCCTCCTTCCAAAATGACAAGCCGCGATGTAACTGTGATACTGTTAAAATCGGTGTTACTCGCTCACATCCATGTACTTATACTTTTACAAACCTTGATTGGTTGAGTCACGAAGATGGATGTGAAAAAGGAAACCAGCATGGAAGTAATCCATTTCTTGCATTTCTCGTCCTGGAACATGATGCCATAGAAGGTGACAAAAGCAACCGACACGCCAGTGAGAGTCCAAAGCAAGATCCACCCAACGATACGACACCACCATGGGAACTCAAACTTCTTCTTTTTCTTCTTCTTTTCCGAACTCTGGGACATCCCACTGTGAGGTCTGAATTCCGACTGTGAGAAGGAGCTCTCCGGCCGAGTTTTCGCCTGGCTGCTTGCTCTTCCTCCCATCGACCAGATTCCAGCTACCTCGGGCTTCACATCGGTCATTGAAGCAGATGTTCTATTTGGCATCTGTTTCAGGGCTTCCTCCAGACGGGATGGCCTCATCTTTCTGGCCTTTGACTTACGGAACAGTGTGATGACGATGAAGTTGGCCGGGAACACGATTAGGTTGCTGATGATACCTATGTAGATCTGAAAGGATAAAGATTGATAATGCATGGAATCGTGTCTCATGAATCATAATGAAATGAGAAGAATGTCAATCTGGTAGTATATATGTACACCTGGAGTATATTGTTATCAACTGTGAGGTTTATACGCGAAAGCAATATGTACATGTATGACCGCGCGATATGTGTGACAGCAATGTTTGTGACAGTAATATATATGGCAGCAATATATATGACAGCAATATGTGAGACAGCAATATGTGTGAAAGCAATTATATTATGACAGCAATATGTGTGACAGTAATATATGTGGCAGCAATATATATGACAGCACTATGTATGACAGCAATATGTGTGACAGCAATATGTATGACAGCAATATGTGTGACAGTAATATATATGGCAGCAATATATATGACAGCAATATGTGAGACAGCAATATGTGTGAAAGCAATATTATGACAGCAATATGTGTGACAGTAATATATGTGGCAGCAATATATATGACAGCAATATGTATGACAGCAATATGTGTGACAGCAATATGTTTGAAAGCAATATTATTACAGCATTATGTGTGACAGCAATATGTGCTGCAGCAATATATATGATAGCAATATGTGCTGCAGCAATATATATGACAGCAATATGTGCTGCAGCAATATGTATGACAGGAATATGTATGACAGCAATATGTGCTGCAGCAATATGTATGACAGGAATATGTATGACAGCAATATGTGCTGCAGCAATATGTATGACAGCAATATATATGACAGCAATATGTGCTGCAGCAATATATATGACAGCAATATATATGACAGCAATATGTGCTGCATCAATATGTATGACAGGAATATGTATGACAGCAATATGTATGACAGCAATATGTATGACAGCAACATGTATGACAGGAATATGTATGACAGCAATATGTATGACAGGAATATGTATGACAGCAATATGTGTGACAGCAATATGTAAGACAGCAATATATATGACAGCAATATGTGCTGCAGCAATATATATGACAGCAATATGTGCTGCATCAATATGTATGACAGGAATATGTGTGACAGCAATATGCATGAAAGGGAAACATGTGACAGCTAAGTTGAATGTTGCGCTGCTGTAATGCATGAAAAGTTCACTCAGTTGTCACGTACCTGCTGGGGACTGAGGGCAAACGGACCAAATGTGAAGGCTGTTCCCGGCTGGTCATCGGCCAGGCCGTAGAACATGGCGTTGGACAGCATGGTGGCAAACAGGAGACACAGGCAGCAGGACACTCTCTGGACACGGGTGAAGCGACTCTGAGGGGGTCGGGCGACAACCGAGAACCACAGGTGACCATCAACAAGGTTCTTCTTGCTTCTCTCCGAGAACAGGTGCCCGAACTCCGTCATCTGGGCAAGTCCAGCCACGGGGATCACGCGGTCAACCTGCACAGTGATCGAGAAAAGAAACCGTCATTATATAATCAATAATAATAACAACAACAACAACAACAGTATTATCACTACTACTTTGATGATAATAAACATACATAACGGCATGTTCAAAGGTATATATGACAATATTCATCTTCCCGAGGCAAGGGAATTAACGAACTATCTGACTATAAAAGTCCAGTTTCCACCCTTGCGGAACTTGGCTGGAATTATGGAGTATATGCATAGTCCAGTCAAAATCGCCTAACGAAATCGATATCCAGTTCGTAAAATACCGTGTAGATTGCAGGATTTGCAAAGCATGTGTACAGTCAATTCGGCGTCAACAGATATGTTCCAAATCGTTCATGTTTTTAATCATTGTGCTCTCGTGATTTAATGCACTTTGCGAAGTAAGACCCGTTTTATTACAATTATATCTTGATAATCGATCAGATCGTCCTGACTTGGCACCGCCATTGTGTTTGAAGCAAATGCAAGTGATATGAGAGGTGTAAACTGATTGGCATAGAACATTGGGACATAGAAGGGACATAACTCGTAATAGACGCTGGTGGCGCTACGATCGTGCCCAGAAATACCAGCCCACTTCGGCAAGGGTGGAAACTTGCCGGTGGGTGGAAACTGGGCGTTTACAGCCAGTTAACTTCCTTGCCTCGGGAAGATGGACAATATTATTCAGATCAATGAATCAACGTGCATTGAAATTCCTTTCTCTTCTCCGTTTGGGAGAACATACCCCACGCTGCCTATTGTGAACTAGAAGTTTTGCATTCATATCACTCATCCTTGTCCGACTGGAACTCAGTTACTACTTAGGTACAGATACATCATAAGGAATATTATACCTTGTTATTGTAAATTCGTTATTTGAGAAACATCTTTAACTGGTTCAGTAACTATTACATTAATACTCTACTGGAGTGTACACTTCTTGAAGGCAACAATTTAATCAATACAATCATTTCCGAATGAGGAATACATAACGTCTGAATTCTTTTAACAAATCACACCTGTCCATCGTCCTCCTCGACAGCGAACCATCTGTTACAGATGAAGACGAACTTCTGCTCGGTCTGCACGTCTCTGACAATGAGGTACTTGAGGTACCACGACCCGAACTTGCCTTTGCCGGAGTTGTCGTGCCACACACGGGCGTAGTTCAGAGGACCGAGGGGCCTGGGAGTGGAACATTACAAGACATTACTTAATATGAAGATCTACAAATAAATAAATGGTCGACTCTGGACCTGACAATCCAGTGATGACATCATGAGCATCGGTCTACGAAATTGGGATACGATGACATGCATCAACCGAGTCAGCGAGCCTAACCACCCGATCGCATTAGTCGTGTGTTACGAAGCATGGGTTACTGAAGGCCAATTCTAACCCGGATCTTAAAGAGGATACTATTTGTAGCACCATTGGCGTTTGTTGGACATAATCCTTAACTGGAAGTTATAAAAATGGTGTAGAAAGGGAACCCCATTGTGAACCTTTCAGGTCACGTGTTACATAAAGTCTCCCAGCCTTTGAGCATATCTCGATGACTTTCTTTAAGATTGAACAAATAATTCGTTGTTACTAATGCGTTAATATGTGCTAATACATGCATCAACCAAGTTACCGAGCCTGACCACCCGATCACAATAGTCTTGAGTTACGAGGCATGAGTTGCTGAAGACCAATTCTAACTCGGATCTTCACGGGGGTATCTCACAACAACATGGATATACTTGTTTGCATATTGAAGATTGTTTAACGGCGCTGTAGTCAAGCCTAGGCGAACAATCTAGTGGTCGACAGTATTAGACACGACAAACGCCATAATATATATTATGCAAGTCGGTAACCCATCTTGGCAGCCATTGTGACTCCCAGACCACGAGGTCTTCAACTGACAGTCTCTGTTTACTGTAGAGTTCAAATCTCGTTGATTTACCCGAGCGAACTATATGTAAGTCAACACTAATGGCGTGACAGACCACATTCGGCTCTACTCAAAGTGGTTATGTGATCACGTGCACGTCTTGCGTCACATTCAGCTTTCCTCCCACATGGTGATGTGTTTTAAATATTGTTCAAAACACAGTTAACCCCGACTAACTGAACTAAACGTTTAACTATGATAAAATGAAAGAACAAGGTGGTCCTTAACTTCTTTTGAGTGGTATATTTCAATTTAACTATACTAACTCTGGCACAGTCATCAAGAAGGCATCAACGTTCCCTCGCCGGAAGACCTTCCGTTTGTCGTCACCGAGCATGCGCACATCGGTTTCGTCATTCTCACCGGACAAGATGAGGAACACCTGAAATATACCACATGGGACACTGTAGCCACTTGAGGTGAGGTGAAATGGGGTTTAACGTCGCGTCCAAGACTATTGCACTTATATAGCGACGTGCATGTACGTGTGTGTGTTTGTGTGGCTGCTTGTACTAGTCCGGACTGATGCCGATTTATAGTGCTAGCTCACTGAGATACCATGTCGCAGTTTAACATGAATACCCCACTCAGTATACTGACTCCGAGCCGACCATTCCTCGTTTTAGCCCCTTAATGCCGAGCGCCAGACAGGGTAACAACAAGTACCATCTTTTAACGTCTTTTGGTATGACGCGGCCGGGGATCGAACCCCGGACCTTCCGCTCTCCGGGCGGACGCTCTACCACAAGACCACGGAGGCGGTTGTAGTCACTTGAAGAATATGCTAGAAAGGCCGTCTCTGGCACTCGAAGAGAGGGACAATTGCAGTCCCGGGAGTTTGCATCATGTGATCAAAACTGTGGGTCAACGTTTATGTGTTTATGTCTAGCAATACATGATTACACTGATGTAATGTCTCAATTACATATTAGGCACTATTTACAACGTCCATAGCTAGATAATAAGGGAGTCGTGGAGTATTGTCTTGACGAGACATAGACATATACTACGCAAAAGAAGTTAAATAACATCCGATTCTTTCAGAATAACTAGTAATTTATATGAAATAATCGGGTGATCTTTAACATACTTTGAGTAGTATACACGTAGTCTCCTGAGAGAAAACGAACGAGTACCTTTGAGTCAGTTCCAGCATTTCTGCGCATGCCCGTCACGACAATGACTTCGTAGTAGTATTTGTCACGACTATCGTTGTCTTTCAAAGGCGTAAGTCCAAGCTGAAATAGAACGGATGTACGTACAGGGCTGTACCAAAGATATGTTCACGCAGGAATAACATTGACGTAATATCACGGCCTGTGGTTTTAATGACAAAGGTTGCGATCGTTGATGTTTACCACGGCCAAACCAACGACATATTTATATGAATAGTCTATGTTATTTTTTGTTTAGCTTCTGACGTCACAAGCAGCCCCCAGCACGTGCGCCACGGAGGTCAGAGGGCACAACTTGCACGTGTAGATTTCGAATTAATCTCTTTTTAATTCCGGGAAAACAAGACCTCGTGCATCCCGTACATGACGAGTGTCAATTACGTTTTTCAATAAACTAGTGGAACAGTCACGTTAACTTAAGTATTGATCCCAACAGTTCCAATTTACAAAAATAATAGGGATAGTTATTTTCTTTCATGTTACATTTTTGAACATTGAAAGGTTCACAATGGAACAGTGCTTACCCTTTCGAGATCCTTTCGGTCCTTTCTCCTGGCCCAGACGACAGCGAGCAGATAGAGCACGCATATCACCATCTCTGTGATGTAGATGGTGGGGTTCTTGTAGAAGTCGGCGTTGGCGAAGACGAAGTTCCAGTCGATGGTGTTGGGGGCTACAGCCCAGCCGCCTCCGAATGTCGTCAAGTGGTTGCAGTAACAGACGGTTTCGTTGTAGTTGGTTTCATCTCCGACCTGATGAAGATTATGTCATAAAACAAGGCGTTGTGTTGTCACAGAGGACATGTATGATTGGGTAACCTTAATGTAACCTACCAGTTGTCTACACGGGAGCCATCGATCGCATGTGTAGTGTGCAAACACCGAAAGCCGTGACGACTAGCAAAGCAAAACTGAAGTACTTACTACAATATGATATTTTTCATTTTCCAAGTCTTCGTTGCACATAAATGAACGGAAATAACTACTAACGGGCCGATAGTCATATTAAATATTAATGGCCGAATCTTTGATTCAGACACACAACAATGCATCCTCGAAAGGCAAACGGGTTGTCGTCCTTCAGACCAATGGCCAGCTCGAGTTCTTATTAAGATGGATGGTTTTGGTTTGTCCTTTAACCTAAATGTTTGAAAAGGAACAGGTTTTTTTGTGTTTGTGTGAGGCGGCGAGGGTCATTGAGTTTGTCTTTCCCTGCTTTTAGCAATATTCAAGACCATACACGAATACTGACCTCACTCGTTGCGGGAATCAAATTCGAATCCGAATCAAATTCGAATCCGAATCTTCAGCTTGGTGATCATGAGCCAGCTAAATGCTTTAACCACCAGTGTATGCCACTACAACGTTACCTTATGGTTGCATTTTGTAGAGTCTTTGGTCATTTGTCTTTTAGCCACCCCTTTCAAGAAACAGACTATTTTTAACGCCGATGCTTCAATGTCTTTAATATCTGATGCAATCCCGTGAAGATCCGGGGTAGAATAGGCCTTCAGCAAACCAGATCCGGGGTAGAATAGGCCTTCAGCAACCCATGCTTTCCGTAAAAGGCGACTATACTTGTCCTAAGAGGCTACTAACGGGATCGGGTGGTCAGGCTCGCTGACTTGGTTGATGCATGTCATCGTATTCCAATTATGTGGAACGATGCTCATGACATCAATCACTGGATTATCTGGTCCTGACTCGATTATTTACAGACCGCCGTCATATAGCTGGAATATCGCTGAGTGCGGCGTTAAACAACAAACAAACAAACAAACAAACACACACACAAACAAACAAACAATATCTGAGGCTCAAGTCTTCCCACTTACGTAACATCCATCTGATGACCACTGCTTGGTGGTCTCATCGAAGAAGTAACAGCCGCTGGTGAAGGTGTAGACGCCAAGCTGGAGGTCGGGGTGGGTGGAGTTCAGGTCTAGTTTGTTCAGGTCAGCGCAGGATGTGATGGTGCTTGAGTCAAACCCTTTAGGGACAGGTCGGAAACCTAGCCATACGGTGCCCGTGAACTTCTTGACCTTTCGATTGTCCATTGTATAAGACATGATTCTTGGGGGTGCTGCAGGATAAAGAGAAATTAGGCGTAAGTGAAGGAATGTTGTTTTATGGCGCCATCAGAAATATGCCCAGCGGCCTGTAAATAATGGAATCTAGGCCAGGCGGCGACCAAAGCAGTTGGGGCCCGAAAAATGAGGCATGAATTTTTTTTTGTATTTGAACAGTAATTTGAGACCTGTCATTTATTATAGGGAGATGAGGGGATGTCATGAAAAAAAATGTTACATGTCTTTGGGGGCATGAAAAATGTGACATAAAATGACCTTTTGTGAACGGACCGCAACGCGAATATACATAAGTACAGGAAATTGAAGATGGCATCCCTTGTTCGTGACGCCACAGAACATTTTCTGTGACGATGTACTAACATTGATTGACCCAGTTGCCATAATTGTTAGTGAACTGGAAAACCAAACTCTCTACACCCCCGTACATAAAAACTTGTACAATAAAGACCAAATAACATGTTCCCAAGTCAACACGGCGTGCTGTTTGTCCATCCATGATGAATTGTTACAAATGTATTTGAAAAGATCTAGTTATTTCATAGATATGCTACATTACAACGAAAAAGCAGAAGCAGATGTGTAAATTACCGAGAGTCTTTGGTATGAAAGCAACGTCATCACATATTCCTTTTTCTATGTTAGATAACTCCCCCATCTTGACAACGAGGAGAACTTGGATGTCGGGATCGGCAAGGTCCTGCACGTCCACGTGGATGGAAGAGTCGTCGCCGGTGAGGTTCACCTTCGTGTAGTAGAGGTTGTTCCAATTTGCAATGTGTAGTTCGGACTCCGTGTAGTTGATAGGGCCACTAGAGGAATGTGCAATGATGATCTTGATAGGTTCGGGAGTGTTCTGAACAGGGATCACGGATCCGTTCTGTGACAAAAACTCCACGGTCAGGTACTGTGTGTCTGGTCCAAGACTGGATGTAGAGTCGGCGTATGTGTTGATGTCTCTCTTGGTAGCCATTGCCTGCAAATATGATGTAATAAATGTAGCTGTACTATAACTTTTATAAGTATGCCTTTACCGTAGCATCCAAACTCATTATGTGTACAAAAATAAGATTGGCCATTTGGAATTATATATTCCTTAATAGCTATATATGTACTTTAGGCCTATGGCCTTTTCAGTACTTGAAATAAAGATTGAAGAGCAGTGTGTGTGTGAATAGCTAGGCCATCAGAACTATTTTCGCCAGAAGAGAACCAAAGTAGCATAGTTAATGAAAGGAAAGAAAACTTTTTCGTTAAGTTTCGGAAAATCGTAACAATTAAACTGATAAAATTTGTTTTTTACCGGACGAAACAAAAATGTTTGAGCTCGCAATTAAAAACAATACATATGGGGCCTGGGTTCTTGTATCGAGATTAGATATGTTTTAAGCTTCAGCTAAAAAAACAGATATTTTTTCAATTAAAACTTTGAGTCCGAGTTTTTTAAAAAAGAAAATCACCTTGCAACAATGTATTTTTTGTAGCATGCAATTTCCTTTTTTTAACAGTCGGAAGCATAATTATTTTTTCAAGACTTTTCGGGAACAATTTATGTTTTTCAATAAAATCCCTGACTTTGGACCTCCTTCCTCCCTCATAGACATGTGCATGGGGATTGTCGTCCTTATGTTGAAGATTCCATGTCTCACCGATACGACAGCAGTGTCGTTCTCTCCGAGAAGGTTCCCGAAGATGTTGGAAGCTGGTAAGGCTAGAGATGTTCTTGTGAGCGGCATGTCGATAATGGCGCCTCCGGTTTCGCCAACGTCAACATGGCTGATGGTGCCGACGACGGCGGGGGTACTGAAGTCGAGTCGCTCCCCGGGGGTGAGAGTCTGCGCCATTTTCTTCATTACGACATCGCGGATCTGTTTTACGTTGCCAGAGTTGCCTGATTGCTGCAAGGTCCAAAACAACACGTTGGGTACATTTTACTGTAGACGTAACGTTGGATGACGTAACGTTGGATGACGTAACGTTGGATGACGTAAGGTTGTTTCCATACCTTTGGTTACACTAGTATTCTTCCATACAGATTCACCTGTTACATATGGACAACATATGTGACCAGCCATTAGTTAAGGGACCTAATGGGTGCAAAATCAAATTTTGACTTCTTCATATTTTAAACCTACAGTATCTGAGGACTACATAGAATTCATAAGCTTCAATTCATATCTATTACAGAGATAAATGGCATCAAACATTTTGACCTATTTATAGTTAGTGAGTGAGTGAGTATGGTTTTACGCCGCTTTTAGGAATATCCCAGCAATATCACGGTTGGGGACACCAGAAATGGGCCATTTTCAGACTTACAACTGTTTTATTTAAAGGCTGCAGTTTTTAGATATTACGTCTGATCAATTAAAAATAGACATGCATGCTGCAGTGATTTGAAATATATTTTTTATTACATTACGAACTGACGAGATAAAAAAAAGGTATTTGTGTGCCATCCGCACACATGCCTATTTGTACGGATGGGAGTAAGTTGACGTGAAATCAATATGTGTTTGTGTGTGTGTGTGTTGTGTGTTGTGTGTTGTGTGTGAATACATGTGTGTGAGACAAGGTGCCACTTACCACCTCCTCCTGTTCCACTGCGTGCACGTTCTTGGCGTGTTGCTTGAATGGGTCGGCAGAACCAATGACACCTGCATAGAGGAACAACAATCAATGCTGTGTCATTTTCTGACGTACGTTGGTTTAAATGAAAAACCCCGATTGATATGAATGATCTGCACTCTAGCAGGGTGTGGCTACAGGGGTACAATGCCCCGTTTTCGGGCCTCATGTAAGCCTGTACATGTGTCAGCCCTCGTGTCGTTTTATTCACATTTGGATTTGGCCACAGTGCATCAACCCCAACCCATCACCCTCTATTAAAAATCCTGGATTCGCCGGGTGGTTGTTGAATGTAAGTGTTTTTGGTTTTAAAGCAGCCTTTAGCAATATTCCAGCCATATCACAGTTTGGGATACAAAAATGAGATTCATACATTGTAACCAGGGTCTTCGGTTTGACGAGTGAACGTTTTAACCACTAGACTGACTATCCCGATTAATGTGCAATTGTGAATTCAATATGTGATATAAACAGAAAAGAGTTATGGTAAATAATTTGTAAATCTTACTTGGATCGGAGGACTCGAGATCCGTGTCATAGATAGGGTACTTGTCAGATTTCTTTGCATTAGAAATATCAGTGAGTGTTGGATATTCCTCGTTTACATCGATGGACTGAAAACAATGGAGTTACACTTTACTTATTATTGCAGAGTACAGGCAATAAAAAGTGGATAAAAGGAAGACTATGCTCCATGACCTGTATATGCTCACTCAAGACGTTGTAGAAAGACTTGCTCCATGGCATACTGCTTATGCTCACTCGTAGCCTAGACGTGGTAGGGAGACTGTGCTCCGTGACATACTGCCTATTTGCAATCTTAATAGGGAGACTATGCTCCGTGGCATACTGCCTATTTGCAATCTTGATATGGAGACTATGCTCCGTGGCATACTGCCTATTTAGAATCTTGATATGGAGACTGTGCTCCGTGACATACTGCCTATTTGCAATCTTAATAGGGAGACTATGCTCCGTGGCATACTGCCTATTTGCAATCTTGATATGGAGACTATGCTCCGTGGCATACTGCCTATTTGCAATCTTGATATGGAGACTATGCTCCGTGGCATACTGCCTATTTAGAATCTTGATATGGAGACTATGCTCCGTGGCATACTGCCTATTTAGAATCTTGATAGGGAGACTATGCTCCGTGGCATACTGCCTATTTAGAATCTTGATATGGAGACTATGCTCCGTGGCATACTGCCTATTTAGAATCTTGATAGGGAGACTATGCTCCGTGGCATACTGCCTATTTGCAATCTTAATAGGGAGACTATGCTCCGTGGCATACTGCCTATTTAGAATCTTGATAGGGAGACTATGCTCCGTGGCATACTGCCTATTTGCAATCTTAATATGGAGACTATTTGCACTCTTAATGGGGCGTCTCTATGATCCATGACCTACTGTTTCCCTGTCATCATCCTTATTAACTGCAGTGATTTGAATCACACAACTCATGAAAAGAATGAACTGGAACTGCGATCCGACCGGCCTTACTCTCTTTTAATAACTTGTGTTCATATAGTTAGGTAACACTTGCAACGTCGGAAATAAATCGATAATACTTTGAGAGCGTCAAACAATACGTAAATAAGCATGTTTATTTGCTACGCCTACCGTGACGGCATCTAACGTCGTTGTTAGGAGTGCAATGCCAACTGCCTTGATGACTTCCGCTGAGGCAATCATACTTTCGAGTTCCTTCGCTATCTCTTCCGTCTTAGAAAGGGTCACGAGCTGGGAACAGCAATGCACAACGTTGAAAACATTCAAACAGAGGTAAATCCAACACAAGCTTCACACCTCTAAACACCGTAGAACTATAATACGTCCTGCGATAAACAGGGCCTGGTTGATTTACGTAGAAAAACTCAACCATATATGAATGCATTAAAGGTGAGGGACATGCATAAAAAGGACACTACCCCAGTAAGTTCTACTTTGCTGTATTTGACCTTCACACATATACAATGTCATTCTTTCAGTGAGAGTAAATTTGGTTTAACGCCGATCTGAACAGTATTTCAGTCATACCACGGCATGCCAACTTGATGTGGGAGAAACGTCAGAAGTCATGCGGGTTTTAGACGTTTACCACTTTTGTGAAATTCACGAGTATGGTGCTGACAAACCTAGAAACATAATCAGTGGGAACTGGGATTAGAAACATTGTTTTCAACAAGAATACAAATTACATTGACTTCATAAGGACACTGAAGGTAGCGCATCTCACTACCGTGCGAATAACATATAGATTAGTTGCACCTGTAGGGAACAGGGGCGATAATTCCAACAAATAATATGTAACGTAACACAAATATCTGATTCTCGATTCTCTCCCTTCCCACCTGCGCGATAACCTCGCACTCTTGCACATGACTAAAATCTAAATATGCTTAACCTTACACTCTGCGTGTTAATGAGTGAGTGAAAGAGTTGGGTTTAACGCCGCTTTTAACAGTATTCCAGTTATATCTCAGACGTTTACCACTTCTGTGAAACCCACGAGCACGGGCATGGTGCCGACAAACCTAGAAACATAATCGGGGCGAACCGGGATTCGAACCCACAATCATAGGTTTCTGGCGTGTCCAAGGGACGCAACTCTGCACGGTGAATCGCTGCGCCTTAGACGACTGGGTCACCCGTGCCCCCGCGTGTTAATGAAGACAGAAGAGCCTCATCACATGGAGATAAAGTTTCTCGCTCCGATCAATAGCACACAACATCTTTGAACATTATTTATCATCTCTGATTAACAAAATCATATATGTTATTCTGCGCAATGGCTGGATGAGGGCAAACCAACATGAGCTGGTATTTATTGAACATTCAACCATTGTAATAACATGTATCGAATTTTTAATTTTAACTCGCAAAAACTGATATCAAGCTTCGGTGCTTAAAGGTTATAAGCTAGCTTAATTCATACAACTGAGACAAAGTGTCTTATTTTACATATTCTAATCATAATGATTTCTACAATTGAACATCTTAATTGCTGCTCGACATTTAAGAGTGCGTGTGGTTTGAACGTTGGCGTGGATTTTAACAGTATTCCAGCAATGTGTGTGGCTTCACGCATTGTACCTATGTTAAGAATCGAATCCTGGTTTTCGACATGACGAGGAGGCTCTAAATGAACAATTGTATTGATCTACTCCACAGCACCTAAGTATGTGACAAATAACGCTTTGGCGTACTTTATTTTGCCTTTAACAATGGAGTATGTTTCGGAAGATAATCGAGACTAATTATGTTTCTTGACGTTTTATATTTAAATTTACTTTTAAGGTTCATCACCCAGACTCTTCAAGCATGGGTTAAGCACCCACAGAATCGGACCTGGATTTTCGGAGCGACAGCCCACGCTTTAACCACTAGGCTTAACTTACCTGACAGTGTCTGGTACACTCATTAGCCTCCGAGGAAACAGTATGAAGACACGTGAGGACTTGTTGCATGGCCGCCGGATCCGGGGTCGTCATGTTGGCGCAGATGTCTGCGATCTGGTCTCGGATCTGTAACATGTTACACAGTAACGTCGATCTCCAGATACACTGTTACACATACTGTAAAACCTCATCAACACGAAGTTTAGGGGACTATCTAATATATCGAATTAGCAGGACCTCGAGGCAGACGGATTTTCTATCGTGATCATTTAAATGTATAACACTTATGCGGGAATCATGAAACTCCGTCGGCTTAAGCAATGTGTCGTGTTAAATGAGTTCGATTTTACGACGCTTAATAGTATCAGAACAATAAGTGAATATTATGGTGATGATTATCAACATTTGCAAATTTTTAAAGATCAGTTTGTTTGTTCAGTCAACAGTTGTTCCTGTATATAGTCATGATATATAGTTATTTTATATTACCCCCCCCCCCCCCCTTCCAAATTAATAACGAATAAACTTTTGTTTACGCGACTGCAATTTAAAGAATAAACTTTTGTTTACGCGACTGCAATTTGAAAAACTCCCCGACCTCGGGTTACATGTAAAGTGGGTGAGTAAGTGTTGTTTTACGGCGCTTTGAGCAGTGTTTCAGTAATATCATGGCATGTACGATTAATGTGGGAAGAACCCTTAAAATGACGCAGTTGCTACAGACGATTTAATTGCCAATGAAAAACAAACGAGCATGGATGTGGTGCTTCATTAAGAACCTTATTTGAAACGATTTTAGAATTCAAACCACAATCAGCGGATCCTGGTACGAGAAGGGACGCAACTCCCTTCCTTAAGTGTGTATCAGAGTAAACATAAATATCATCTCCGATGTCAGATACAACACTTACTGCAGCATTGTTGTCTCTCTCGATGTTGTATTTCTCTATACGAGCTTCCTGATCAGCCAAGTTGGCCTAAAAATACATCAAAGATATATGTGAAAACGGATGATAGACTTCATTTGTTATTTTTTTTAAATAAATCATTAAAAATGAACAACTCATTGTTGATTTACAATATTATCTGCAGAAACAGCTTACGCTAGCTGTTGCATCATCCATTCCGTTGGCAACGGTGTTGTCGCCGGGGGCGAGGAAGGAGGTGTATTCGTTGTTGGGGCCTATTCCTGGTACACGTTGGTACTCTGTAAAACCATACAATACACATTACCGTTTACTATCTAATAAACCTGTACAGCCTTGTAAGTGAGAAATTAAATTTGAATTTGGCCATATACTCTTATTATTAATGTTAAACTTTATATGACGAAGACCTACAATATATGATACTCTTGATTTACATGTCTGAGACTTTCGCTGAAATTAACAAGATAAAAATTAAATTCTAGATTAAGTTATACAGTTTTGCATGATACAATAAATCTTTTAAGTGTTATTAACTGCAATATTGATACTTCCTTGAATATATGCCTAATATTTTATTAAGTGTTTCCTCTGTTAGTGACGTGTTAGTGGAGCGGGTTGCGGACACTGCATTCACTTCATGCAGGGGGTTGTGTTAAGTTGTGTTTAGTAGTGTTAAGTTGTGTTAACATGGTTACATAAACACTGACATGGGTGAGTAATAAGTCCCAAACCAATACAGACACACGCATGCACACACCCACATACACAGACACACACATACACACACACATACCAGGTAGTGTGAGTATAGTTTTACACCCACTGTGAGGACACCAGCAATGGACATGCTTATATGCTCCAAATCATGCAATGGACTCTGCTTTAAGCTGAGATTTCTGAGATTATGGAAAGAGTTCGAGTCCCTTTTATTTATTCACACATTGTATCATGAGCGGAATCGAACCCGGGCCTTCGGTCTGACGAGCGAAGGCTTTAACCACTAGGCCACCCCATCGCCCTCTGAGTTGATAGAAGTATTTACATCTAGTCTGGACTACTGTAACGGCCTCCTTAGCAACATCAGCAAAGATCAGATACAACGATCAGATACAGAATACAACCAGAATAATTACCCAAACCAGAAAGTTTGACCATATTCCAGTTCTAAAACGACCCGGTTTCTCGCCCATTTCATCACAGATAAACTTCAAGCTACTCTCCCTTGCCTACCGATGCTATAACAATGAGCTATACCTCTTCGCAACCAACACGTTCGCAACGACGCAATGACAAAATCTCATCTCAACAACACAAGCTGTAACGACTTATGAAAAAATCCTTCGAATATGCAGCAGCTTCATAATGGAATGATCTACCACTTGAAATAAAACAATCCCCAAACTCATCATCTTTGAAGAGACAGTTAAAACACTCCATTTTATACAGGTTTTCCCCTTAACTGTTTCTTAACTCGATCTCTCCCAACAAGCGCGCAGAGCATACATCACCGTGTGAATGTTGGGGTATATAAGTGTACATATTATTACGTATTTAAGGACCGGAAAGCAGTACGCTGTTTTGAACTGCATTTTGTTCGAGTTTGTCCATCTGCGACTTTATAAAACCTATTAGGAATGGCGTGTTTAATGATGATAAACAGCGTTTCTTAATCCAGACTTCACAGCAGAAATACCACCATAACCACAAATCTATAGATGAAACGTCCTATAGGAAGTTTCACGTTTGCAAGGCTTTTATACCTTAAACATTTTCACCCATCGTACCGCCTGTGACAAAATACCTGTTGTTATTAGACTGTGTTTAAACATCAGCCTTAAATATAGTTCAAGGGTAGGTTATGACAATTGTTAGTGTATATTTAACATCTAACACAACATGCATATTAGTAAAGTATAATAACGATATATGAACATACACAATATATTAACGAATATATAAACATATTATACAAATCATACACAAGTATCACTTTAGTTATCAGAAAACGGTCATTTTCCATCCACCCATGAAAACCCAAAAAACCATCTGAAAACATGTATGTATTACGACATATTTTACGTTTTCGGTTACAGTTAGGAATTTGATAAAATTTATTTCGTACAATGATTAATAACCAAAATATTACGACTGCTACAACGTTGATGAATAGATAAAACTTATATTATAAAATATCAATATTTGCTTGCACGAATGTATGCAAATGACCGTCCTCTGTAACGTGTCGTAGCTGACAGATATATGAACATTTCTATGTTTACTATTAGAGTGAATGTGAGTTGGGTTTTACGCCGCTTTTAACGGTATTCCAGTTATATAGCGGCGTGTCAGCTTAATTTGGGAGGGAAGCCCGAAGTGATGCAGGTCTCAGACGTTTACCACTTCGGTGAAACCCACGAGCACGGGTATGGTGCTGACAAACCTAGAAACATAATCGGGGCGAACCGGGATTCGAACACACAATCATAGGTTTCTGGCGTGCCCAAGAGACGCAACTCTGCACAGCGAATCGCGGCGCCTTAGACGACTGGGCCACCCGTGCCCCCGTTTACTATTTGGAGGTGTTCTACAAGTTACATATGTATAGAGAACCAATGACATGTGTGTGTACACTTCTTTCTCAGCGAAAGGTTTGTTAATACAACGAGCAGACCCATTCGTAACCACTCGCCAATTTCCGTAACCTGCAAAAATACTTCTTTCTCTGCAGATATTGTGTGCGAAAATACGACAAATATATCGGACTGTATGAATGAACAGAATTAATATTTCTTTGATAAAATAACCCGTCTTTGTAAATTTAGTCTAAGGTACATTTGGCAATCTCACACCACACCATGTGTCGCCTACAAGAATTTGACAATGCAGAATAATTTCAAAAGTCCACACAAGACTTAAGAACAACAACCATGAGATTATGATAATTAGATTACATAGCAGTTCCGATAGAAGTTCAGCAAGTTTTGCACGTTTGGGGTAAGACGGAACCCAGTCAATAAAATGTCCACGACAGGGGCGCGAGCATGTCCCTGTATGACGCGAGTGGTCACGAATGGAACACATCAATTACACGCGCAATGTTCTGCTGTGCCATAGATCCACGCCAAGCCTTACCGAACACTTAGCTCGGTATTCCACGATGCAGGTGTTGTTGATGAACAGAAACTGAATAAAATCACATTAAAATTCAGGTCTCCAACTGGGTTTTTACACAGGGAACACTTTGTCTTTCTTGGAGTGAGTGAGTATGGTTTTACGCCGCTTTTAGCAATATTCCAGCAATATCACGGCGGGGGACACCAGAAATGGGCTTCACACATTGTACCCATGTCGGGAATCGAACCCGGGTCCTCGGCGTGACGAGCGAAAGCTTTAACCACTAGGCTACCCGACAGCCCGCTTTCTTGGATTACGGATGTTGTGTTGGGCTTTAGGTCTTAAAAGACGCTGTGTTCAGTTGATTTATATGCACGTCTTTCGGTGATCTGAGATTAATATCTACCTTGAGCGTTTCCCTGAAGATATTCAGCCTAACAACATTTCGAATTTACTCCTACGCCCTCTATTCAATTCGAGAAGGACCCACAGACACCTCTGTGTTTCGAGTCTACGATTGACACTAATCTTGAGCCCAGACCACCAACCTTTTTTCTGGATGTGCACCACTGGTTTTCCGTATTTTATGCCACGAGCCTACATTTGACACGCTACACTTCATATAAACCAGTGATTATCTTCAATTTGATGGCACTTAATTGTTTATGGAAACCACGTTATTACTGAGAGACTGCTTAATACTGTTTTTCAAAGAAAACATTTAAACCCCCATAATCTCGACCATGTCAGCCTATTTTCGAATGGAGTGATTGAGTGAGTATGGTTTTACGCCGCTTTTAGCAATATTCCAGCAATATCACGGCAGGGGACACAAGAACTGGGCTTCACACATTGTACCCATGTTGGGAATCGAACCCGGGTCTTCGGCGTGACGAGCGAACGCTTTAACCACTAGGCTACCCGACCGCCCCATTTTCGAATGGAATAGATATAACACATATATCTTATTCCTCCTGCACCTTTCGTTTTCCTCTATGGGAAAAGTCACCATTGTATAGGCCCATTTATACACACACTGGTGGTGTGCTATCTTGGATCTTAACCCCTGAGGGTGTCTGATAATGAACATCGAATAACTGTGCAATCCTAATTCGCCTGTGCTGAAAAAAACTTTTATTAAATGACAAGAAACTCCATCCGACGAACACCAAGCAAAGCGGCGTCATGCATACCTATCTCGCTCCTCTTACTCTCGGTGTTCAGTAGTGTAGCAATTTGGGTCATTTTCTCCGTTACCGCTTTCTGCTCCCCGCTTGCAGCCAGTTTGTCAATGGCCGTCTGAGAAAACAACTTCTCGTTTGAAGTCCACGCTCGTATCTGATCTACACTGGCTGGATTGACCTGATGGACCGAGAATATCAATGTTAAACAGAGACGAGGCTTCACGACCAAGGATGTCTGAGCATTGTAAAACCATCTTCCCGAGGCAAGTGAGTTAACTGACTATAAAAGCCGACCTTCCACCCTTGCCGAACTAGGCTGGTATTATGGAGTTACATTTTGGCTGGGCTAACGAGTCTATGCATAGTCCAATCAAAATCGCGCACCGAAATCGAAATCCGGTTCGTAAAGTGTCATGCAGATTTCGGTCGACTGCAGGATTTGCAAAGCATGTGCACCGCTAACTCGTTGTCAACAGATATTTTCTATATCTTTTCATGTTTTTAATCAAGGTGCTCACGTGATTTGATGCACTTCGCGATGTAAGACTCGTTTGATCACAATATAGATCTTGATTATCGATCAGATCGTCTTGACTGGGCGCCACCGTTTTGTTTGAAGCAAATGCAGGTGATACGAGAGGTTGAATCTGATTGGTCAATAGGAGAGGCATAGAAAGGACATTACTCGTAATAGCCACTGGTGGCGCTACGATCGAGCCCAGGAATTCCAGCCTAGTTCGGCAAGGGTGAAAACTGGACTTTTAAAGTCAGTTAACTCTCTTGCCTCGGGAAGATGTGTAAAACTGGTCCACAGCATGTATATAACCAGGGTTCTCATTTACTGCCAGCTTGATCTGCATCATAATATGTGAGTTATCAGACAGAGTGGGCATTTCATAACTCCAACCAAACTTGCCCATTGGCCTATCTCTCTGTTAAATGCAATTGGGATCGCATCCGTGGTCTAGTGGATGAGTGGAGAGCGGAAGGGCGATGGTTCGATCCCAGCGGGGTCATACCAAAAGACGTTAACAGATGGTACTTGTTGTTACCCTGTCTGGCGTTCGGCATTAAGAGGATCAAACAAGGACTGGCCGACTTGCAGTGAGAGTACTTTGTCTCAGTGTGGTATCCAAAGTGCGGCATGATATTTCAGTGATCTAGAGCTATAAAACCGGCATTATTCCGGACTAGAAGTTACACACACACACGTGCATGCACGTTGCTATTTTCGTGCTATAATCTTGACTTTAACTCCAATTTCACCTTACGTCACCTTTACATGTGCGAGATTATCCACCCAGTTTAAGTCAAGGCCTAAGTAAGATAGTTTCCAAAGAGGTTCAAAGAAATATATTGCAAAAGATCTACGATCTGAAATCAGTTCAGTTTGAACTTAATAATTCTAGGTATCCTTTTCTGAAAAGTACTTCTCTAAGGTACAAGTCGTTGGTCACGTCGATACTAACCGTCACGTTGTCGATGAAGAAGCTGTATGCGGCGCCAAGGGAGTCCTTCACGTCCACCCACACCTCTTCCTTAAAGTCGTCATAGTCCGCCCCCAATGGAGGGTCGATTGTGACGTCACTAGCCTCACGGTACGTCGTTATCTGTTGGGCGAGTTCGTTGTTCTTGTGCTTGCCTGGAGTGGAAGTGAGTGAGTTAAAGGTTGGCATCGAGCGTTTATTTCAAGAGCTGCTCAATCCCTTAACGAGGCGTACATGGTGCTATTGTAGCATTACTGTATTCTGTTCGGTTTTCTGCACTTTAGTCCAACGTGGTATCAATCACACGAGCTTTGTGAGGACAGGGAATTCCAGTCTAAAGAATTTTGGTCACGTGTTACTTTTGATACTCTAGCCTTTGGGTATCGCTTGATGTCTTTCTCTAAATACATGCATCCCATATCACCAACATAATATAGCCACCGATAGAGGAAAAGACATGTGATAGGCAAACATGTGATTGATAACGTGGCATTTAAAGCAATCATTGTGCCCATAGGATATTGAGACACCATGCATTTAGTTATGAGCGGACACCAATCTCTGATATTTGCATGTAATTCAGTATATTACATTTCTTACGCCTAAAAGAATCTGTTCCCGCGGATAATCGAGACTGGTTGTTTTCTGGCGTTGACGATGTTTTTTTATGTAGTAGTTAAAGGCTCTTAAGACGCCAAGTCATACGCTACCAAGGCGATGTTACAATATAATGTTGGTAGACGAAAAGCGCGGCCGTAACCACCAGGCGTACAACGTGCAATGTCTGGTAAATGAATGTTGATACGATTATGTTGAAAAATCAGTGTGCACCTAAGTATGCTGGTAGAGACAATACTATAAGACAATACTAAAAGCTCTTAAAATCTCATAATAAGGATATTTATATTGTTGATACAAATTTGACATTTTTTCATAGATTAGCGCTGGCACAATGTCGACGAGGTAGCACAGATTCATTGACCGAGTTTGGTTATTGACTTTTAAGAGACACACTAATACATCCTAAAAAAATGGAATTTAGTAATACCTAAAATACAATTACGGATGATGTCAATTTCTCCAAGTCACTCATAAATATGATTATGTAAGAACAAAATATATACGTCGACAGTTCTATGAAAATAGATAATTAATATCCCTGCGTCCCTGTTCACAATACTTCTTTACACAACATATCCGTGTTTATATACCAGGGGCAAAAGAAAGTATACCAAGTTTTTTTTAATGTATTTCAAAATTAAAAGAACTGTTAATGAATTTGATAATGTCTTTTTAACCATCATTCATTTCTGAAACAGTTTGTACAAATAAAATGGTTCAATGAAAACTTGGGTAAGACATGAATTGCAACCACACGACCCCTACAATGTTTGAAATATAAATTTGTGCCAAAAATATCAAATTTGATTGATTTTCAAAATAATATGTGCAAGATAACTAACCGCAGATGTATAATATGCGAAATGTTCTTTTAAGTTTCAAAATGATTAAATCCAATTATATCTTAAAAGATAAAACCATGTAAAATTATTCTTTCAGTGCCGACAAAACACCAGTACAGTTAATTTTTTTGGTAACTTAAGATATTTTCAACCGAAATCAAATATAAAATATATATCATAAAATCAACTGCGAGTTAAAGTTTCTCTTGCCCCTAAGTTAAATTCAACGATGTAAACTTTCATTTAAAGAAAAAAGGTTAAATCAAAGTTGTATTACTGTAGAATGTAAACCCAGCAATTCCGTTGTCATCCTGCCATCCCGAGCACTTGACGTTGAATGCCCCAGTCCCTTCCCAGGTGAGGGTGCTGGCCTTGGGGGTGATGACACAAGTTCCGGGTTGAGGGGGTCGGTTCAGTTGGATGTTGAGCGCAGCTTGGCCTAAATCACCACCGGGTTTTTGACACTTGACCGAGAACCGGTACTTGGTGACACTAGGGTGAAGGTCGTACAAGGTTGGCTTGATGGCGATTGTTTCTGACTTCATTCCTATAAAGTAACCAGCTTCGTATTATCTATAATTTATTTGTTGATGGGATGCTCTAGCCTACAGCTCAAATGAGAAGTTCCCATATTAACACGCTGCAGCTATTTCGGATAGACGTATACCACTTACATATTTTAATGGTTACGCTCATGAACCCGTTTTGATAATACAGTAAACTACGGTTATAACGAACTCAAAGGGACTACTTATTTTAGTTCGTTACAACCGTAATTCGTTATAAGCACATATACAGTATAACTACAGCAAATAGTCGGGACTAAAAAGTTAGTTCGTTATATCCGTTAGTTCGTTATAAGCGTGTTCGTTATAACCGTAGTTTACTGTACATACGTGAAAGGACAGTTCTAAACTTGGATGTCAGTAATACTATGCTACTCATCATTTGCTAAGGACCACACCTTTGACTATAGACGACTGTTTTAATAAGTCCTCGGGAAATGTTGAGCAATACATTATTCCAGGTGGCCTGACTGACTGAATGCTTGGAAACGCGTTGTCATGCGAGTACTTTAACAAATGATCTGGCTGCGTTTCAAATTAAGAGATGAACTTACGTATTATCCCTTGTAAACCTGAATATATCGGATGCTCGATTAAAATAATACTTGTATAGTTCATAAAGTTAATCATTGTATAGTATAAGCAAAGACATATACAAACTTTTAACTGTTTACATTAATCGAGGAAACATCCAAGAGGAAGGAAACATTTCCAAGGACTTGAACCTGACTTAACGTGTAGGAGAATGTGCTTTGTGAAGAGGGTCATGCAGTGAATGCTGTAGTGCATGTCCACGTTGTAAAGTATCAGGACATGTAAGTGTTGTGACGTTGACACGGGACAGGACAGCTCCAGTTTTTACAGGACAGTGCATGTCTGCGTTGTCACGGGATAGGACATGTCCGCGTCGTTACTAGATAGGACATGTCCGCGAGGTATTGGATAGAACAGGTCTACGGTGTTATTGGATAAAACGTGTCCGCGTCGTTACTAGATAGGACATGTCCGCGAGGTATTGGATAGAACAGGTCTACGGTGTTATTGGATAGAACGTGTCTGCGTTGTTGCTAGACAGAACATGGGGGTTACGTTTGGTATTTCCAAGGTATTCTCACGATGTTAACTTCGATTACCTGAACCTTTTCTTCCAATACCGAGAGTCATATCTCTCCCGGCGATCGTCCGGCCATTGCGTTTATCTACGTTGCCAAGCTACATTTATGGGGAGCAACTCAGTAGGCACTTCCCTTTCAAAAATAACGTGGTCCAATGTACGACGTCATCAAGTTGCGAGCACATCTCCAGAGGTGAGGTGAGGTGAAATTGGGTTTAACGTCGCATCCAAGATTATTGCACTTATAAAGCGACGTGCATGCACGTGTATGTGTGTGTGTGTGGCTGTTTGTATTAGTGCGGACTGATGCCGATTTATAGTGCTAGCACACTGAGATACCATGCCACAGTTTAACATGAATACCCCACTCAGACACAGTATACTGACTCCGAGCCGACCAGTCCTTGTTTTAGCCCCTTAATGCTGAGCGCCAGACAGGGTAACAACAAGTACCATCTTTTAACGTCTTTTGGTATGACGCGGCTGGGGATCGAATCCCGGACCTTCCGCTCTCCTAGCGGACGCTCTACCATTACACCACATCTCCAGAAATGACATCGTGGTAGAATAATGTTTTATCGTGAAATAAACCACGGCTCGTTCTCCATTGTTCTTTTGCGATTTATCGCGTTGCTTTCTTATATTTTGCGATAATGCATTTCCGCGTTGGTATTGGATGGTCCATGTGCACGTTGTTGAAGCGTGGTGTGTGTCTGCATGTATATATCATGTATACGAATGCCGTGCTACAATATTAGAACGCATAGGCAGGAGTTACAAGACATATGCACGGCCTGGTATAAGATAGTGTATGTCCAAATGTAATCTTAGAAGACGGTTACCAGTCAATGGATGCGATCGGTTTCATAATTCGCCAGTTCATCACTGAGTGATGTGAAGTGAGTGAGTGAGTGAGTGAGTGAGTGAGTGAGTGAGTGAGTGAGTGAGTGAGTGAGTAGTGATACATGCGAAATTTTCATAATGGTGATACAAGAATGTCTCATATAGAGTAAAATAGTTTAAAAATATCGAGGTTGTGGACGTGTATACATTCGTAAGTTTTCCAACACATGTGTGAGGTACTACATGGACGTGCAGTCAGAGAAGATAGTACATGTTACAGCTGACCCAAAAAGGAATAATTACCCTATTGATATCAGACATTCCAAAACATTTGAATCTTCAAAAGCACAAATAAAACACATCTTTTCCGTGACGCATATGAACAGTATGGAGTATTCTGTGGCACGTTTCTATATACATTGTTTCTTATTGAGCATGCACCGAGGGCATGGAGTTGTGTGTTTGTTGTTTAACGCCACACTCAGCAATATTCCAGCTTAATGACGGCGGTCCGTAAATAATCGAGTCTAGACCAGACAACCCAGTGATTGACATCATGAGCATCGATCCCCGCAATTGGGATACGAAGACATGCATCAACCAAGTCAGCGAGCCTGATCACCCGATCCTTTTTGTCGCCTCTCACGACAAGCATAGTCGCCTTTTACTGCAAGCATGGGTTGCTGAAGACCTATTCTACCCCGGATCTTCACGGGTCCCGAGAGTATGGAGGCAAGCGCAATATAAGTACACATGAATATTATTATTGATATAATTATTACACAGAGATTACACATACAGACAGACGGAAGGACAAACAGACTGGATTTATACAGGGCACAATGAGACATGGACAAGACAACCTGACATCATGATATAGAGAAACGTTGTACGTTGTACTAGAGAAGGTGTGTCATGACAACAAGGTGATGTCCTATCGGAACTATACTATACATTAAGTCCAGTGTCTATCAGGGCCGTGATTAAACATGAAATAAGTGAAACGAGGGTTGATTGCTTAGTCCTGAACCTCACATAGAAGGAATTGCGTAAAGGGATTTTTGTAGTTGTGGACATAACATGTCATTTAGGTATATCCAGAAAAAAAACTTGAGTCAATTGATCAGTTGGTTCGCTGTGACGAGTCAGTAAAAAATGCAGGGTTAAGTACATTTTAAAGACAAACTTTAGGCGAAATGATCGAGTATCTGTCACAAGGCTTGACACAAAATGCCATTGGTGACGAAATGAGCACAATGTTGAGGAAGGATGTCCCTTCCTATGCTACTTTAAAGAGTTTGGCAGCACAGTTTGGGCGTGGCAGGGAGAGCCTTGAAGACGTTCCCCGTCCTAGAAAGGCCAGCAACACCAGACAAGATCCAGAGAATCCACGATATGGTGATAACCCAGCGGTGAATGGGTGAGCGTCATGTGAAGCTGAGACAAGGTGTGCTCATACACGAGGACAATGCACCAGTGCACAAATCAGTCAATGCCATGACTAGAATCCACGAGGAACTCCTTCAGCACCAATCGTATCCTCCTCATCTGGCTCCGTCCGACTTGTTTCCAAACACGAAGCAAGCTCTTGCTGAAACCTATTTCGACTCGAACTATGATGTCAGAGCTGTGGATAACCTAGTGGACTTCTGCAATACTGGGATACAATCCCTCCAACGTCGTCGGCAAAGTTTATCAGCGTGGAAGGGGATTATGTTGGACTATAACAATAGTAATGTCCCGTGTGAGGCTCAGAACATATCATTCACCCCTCTTATAACCAGAAGTTGTGCATCGTGGATATAATCGGAACAAGTGAAATCATTATGGACTTAAACTATAAGTTTATGCCATATAAAGCGATACTAGCTAATGTTGAACTTTAAAAAAAGTTATAAAGATATAAAAAACATGTATGTCATACTTGTTTAAGACGTAAACTTGTATTTACCTACTTATGGCATTACAAAGAAAGTGTTATCAATGATGTATAATATTATGTTAAGGGTAAAGATAATTTATTCTAAATGTTGACAATGAACATGTCTAGGAACTGTGTGACAATGCTATACAGAGAGTTCTATTGTAGTCTTTCTGGTGACAAGGTCTGTGACGGTGCAGAGATAGAAAGTGTCCCGTGAGATTTGATACCCTTACCATCAATTGCTGAACGCAAAGAAAATAACCATTATGTGTTAGTCAAATTGATATACAAATGAATCGCATCTCATGGTGCATCAATGTACGTTAATTGATTCAGCGAGTAACAAAGGATCAACATTTTAACACTGAACACCGTATGCCAGAGTGCTTAGCCACTCTCCCATACAGAGACTGAAATTATACAAACACTCCCACTTGAATAAAACAATGAAGTTAACATCAAAAGTATTGATCAGGTCAATTATGTATGAATGTGATACTACTTACAAGTGACATGGATGAGGACAAGCATCTTAAATGTCAGGACCGTAAATATACGGATAAAAACAAAATCCACAACGACTTTCAAGTGATAAAATACAATCATGCAGTTCTCGGTATAACCAATTAATATCTTTAGCATAAAGAAATATAAAGAACCATTTATGCATCCAACCTAACGTAAATATAAAAATTAAAAAATAGAAATAAAAAATAAATAAAAATATATATATAAAATAAATAAATAAATAAATAATTGGTATTTGAACGGTTTTCTACCCTACAAAATAACAACAATTTAGGTACGTGGCTTCAAGTACCAGTTTCGTTAAGCATATTTCAACCCTTAAATTTTTCATGTTCAATTTGCGACCAAAACTTTCCTTAAATACTATCGACAACAACCGACAAATACCCACCAACAAGATGGGGATCCACTTCGGAGTCGAAGTACGCCCGCCAGGGCCATCGGAAGTCATAGGAATAGGCGGTCCATTGGCAGTTGAGGTCAACATTAGCTGCGCAGTCCTTGCACTTCACCTCCAACGCCAGACGTTCCTGCGACGACACCAACTTACCGTCCGCTAGCTGGGTCGTCACGCTGCTGCCAGCCGTCCTGGAAGTCAAAGACATCAGTAACAAAACAACCAAAAGCGGTCACATTTTGACGGCATTTGTTACTTAAATATACTGCGGACATAACGAGGCGAATGGGGCTGTGCAGAGTTGCGTCCCTTAAAAGCACCAGAAACCTTTGACCGTGGGTCGCGCTGGTTCTGTTTCTAGGTTTGTAGGCACTATACGCGTGCTTCTGGGTTTCACCAAAGTGGTAAACGTCTACGACCTTCTTCACTTCGGTTTTTCTCCCATATTAAGCTGACAACGCGTTATACAACTGTAATACTGTTCAGAGGGCCGTTAAACCAAACTCACGCCTGAGAGATTAGAAGTGAGTTCGTAACAGCCGACTATTTTACTGTATCGGGAGTTGGTTGTTCTATCACAAAAGCCTTTAGGAATCACACTAAGTTGAATAGGTGAAATAGGAATCATATAATTCAATATCATTTGGGTAAATCGCCATTGTATTTACATTGGTCTGTTATCGACAATTCGTTATTTGAGTTCGAAATATCCGGAGATAATTCAATCTGCTTCAACAATGAACGAGTAAGTTTGACACAATGTACCCAAATGTGAATTGAACCTGTGTCGTCGGTATTAAGTGAGTGAGTGAGTGAGTGAGTTGGGTTTAACGCCGCTTTTAACAGTATTCCAGTTATATCACGGCGTGTCAGCTTATTGTGGGAGGAAAGCCCGAAGTGATGCAGGTCTCAGACGTTTACCCACGAGCACGGGTATGGTGCTGACAAACCTAGAAACATAATCGGAGCGAACCGGGATTCGAACCCACAATCATAGGTTTCTGGCGTACCCAAGGGACGCAACTCTGCACAGCGAATCGCGGCGCCTTAGACGACTGGGCCACCCGTGCCCCCGTCGGTATTAAGAGTAAACGCTTGACCTCTCGGCAACCTAACCCCCTTGCCACAGAGTAAAATGGTTCAAAATGGGATTGGCATCTATATCGCTAGGATTAATATTGTTAAGGAGTTCACTCGTAAGCCAAAAGTTACAATCCTTCAATTTGTTAAATATGTAAGGCCCATTCTTTGTGTCCTCCGTCGCTATTTTGCTTTAATTTTGCTGACATATTGCTGAAACTTAATGGTGTCAGGTTTGTCTGGTCGAGACTCGATTGTTTAAAGGCGTGTTATATATAACATTCTGACTGAGGAGTTGGGATACATTCACTGACGCTCAAAGCATACTCCTCGTGTTATATAAAGCTGATTATGATTTATATATTTACATGATGTATAAGTTAAGAGGAGCGCCGGTGACGATATTGACGAGAATGGCGCCGACAGATGCTCTTGTGTCTTTAGATCCATTGCAAGAAAGTTCGATCTGCTCCCCGACCACGAACAGGTTGGTGTTGAATGTGAGTTCTCCGCCTGGTTGCCCGGTGATCGAGTCACAAGCAGTTGCCAAGGACAGGTTCTTCATTATTCTACAGCTCCATGTGAATCCATCGAAGCCCTGTAAGAAAACGTCGCTCTTGTTACTTTTAACTTTTAATTTGTTGAAATGGTCTTGTCGAACATCTTCATTACTCATCATCCTATATTTGCTTACAACAATCAATAGCATGTGTGTTTAGAAGTACTCACTTAACCCGTAATCTTAATGTAGTCGTTTGTATTCCGGAAATAAATAGGATACCATAAATGTAGACACATGAAATGTATAAATCATAATAATAATAATTATGATAATGATAATAATAATAATATGGGCAACCGCCTGGTGCAATCGGGTAAACAACATTAACCACAAAGACATTTATGTTACACACGCCAGTCTTTCGTTGTGCAGAGTTGCGTCCCTTAGGCGTGCAGGGACCTATGATGGTGGGTTCGAAGCCTGATTATGTTTCTAGGTTTGTCAGCACCATATTCGAGCTGGTGGGTTTCACAAAATCGGTAAACTTCTAAGACCTGCATCACTTCGGATCTTTCCCCCAAATTAAGCTGACACGCCGTGACATAACAGAAATAATTTAATGTTCAAAGCGGCGTTAAAACGAATTATCACATTTACCCAATACACACGCCAACATATTTACCTGGGGAGCTGTGATGTCCACATCCGGATCGAATGAATATTTATCAGGGCTAAAGGTCACCGGAAGATTCTCACCACGGTCAACCTCACTGATGCCCCCTATCTCCATGACGACCACGAGGTCAGACATGATCACCTCGAAGAATGTGTAGTCATACCCAACAAAAGTAGTTCCGTCGGCCAAGTCCATTTGAATGCTGTAGGTCGCCTTGTACAACCCATAGGCTAACTGTTTCGCTCTGATCACAAGTTCAGCTTTGTCAGACGTAAAGCCGGTGGAGCCGTTATATCTCCCGTACTCTTTGTCAGCCCGTTCAACTTGCCATAACTTGGTATTTTTAAGAGTAGAAGCGCAGGTGATATTTGACTTGCCTCTGATGACAATATCTTTGCTTTTCTGGAATTGAAGAGGTGTTCGAAAATCTGTGACGCCATCTTCAATGGTGATATCTGGCTTGTTGCAATCCTGGGAACTTACAGAATGGTATAAATATATATGCGTTGCAGAGAAGGTGTTGAAAATAGTGGCGTTGATCTGGTAGTTACCGACGGCGTCGTATTTGAAGCGTACGGTCATTGGGTTCTGCAAGGAACCCGCAGCCCGTCCTCCTGCGAAGGCCGCTTCTAGAGAACAGTAGGCAGGGTCGCCGTAGTTGTATGTCGTGCCTGACCCGTCGTCAAAGTTAACGTTTAGGCAACTCTCTTCGCCCATCTCGTCAAACTGGAAACTGAAACTCTTCTCCTGTCCAGCTTTGGCGTTGGGCGTTAGCTCGGTGACGATGATGTTGTTGACGGGTTGTCTCATGATGATGGTTTTAGTATCTGGCGTTGATTCTCCAAGTGGGTTGACGGCTTTCACCTCCACCGAGTACTGTCCCGCCTAAGATGAAGATATTCAATTACTTTATGTCGACAATGTGAATATTTGCATTTACCCTTCTTGTGAATGAATACGAGAGATCCTTTTGGATTTGTGGTAAACTTTGGTCCGTAACCTGGTTGATAAAGGGAATCTTCAGTGTTAAAACTTTGACGTTAACATTTACGCTAATCATAAAGAGGCAATTATTAATAAAACGGTGCAGGATAGTTTTAGCTATTGTTGTTTAACATTTAACCTTGATATTTATATATTTGACAGGCTATTGATCTTGAAATAGTTTTGCACAGGCCTATTGTCCATCGAACTTAGTCAAAGTAGTTGTAATGAATTGTGTCTCTTAGTCATCGTCATATGGTAAATTAAGGCACATATTTCATATTTATATATTTACATGTATTTCATATATGTATGTATACGTAAGTGACCCCTGACGTGAATAAATTAAAACAAATCAGAGTAACACCAAAAGAACCAGTATTCCTGGTATTAAACAATACGTTTACACACCACTTACATACTCTCATATTGTTGGAAAATATGTAAGAATGTCATTGATCTCATTTTTTTTAAATGTCTAAGATACCACGAATACCTGGTCCACATCCTGATCCTGTTTGGATCATGGGCTCCAACCCCGGTTCGCCCCAATTATGTTTCTAGGTTTGTCAGCACCATACCCTTGCTCGTTTGTTTCACCAAAGTGGTATACGTCTGAATCCTGCATCACTTCGGGCTTTCCCCCAACATTAAGCTGACACGCCATGGTATAACTGTAATTCTGTTCAAAGCGGCGTTAAACCCAACTCCCTCACTCTTAATAAAGTACAAAATCTATCGCTTTGGGTTGAGTCCCATCCGGGATTCGAACCCATACTCTCAGAGTGAGGCACCTAATTGCCAGTACACATCTAACTCGAACACTCACTCTGAGAGTGGGGGTTCGAATCCTGGATCGGACTTAACCCCGAAAAGTACTAGACTTCGTAATCTACTAAGAAAGTGTAATCCCAAATACAACATGTATTACATTTGACCACTTTCTAGAAGGCATTGTGTTTTCATATTATACTTCCTAAAAATATATAGTAAATGCATTCTTCCAGGGCGCCGATACTTTAATTCTAAATGTACCGTGACCACCACTTGTAGTGAGCTAAACTTGGGTGATTGTCCGTGAACTGAATACAACATGTAAGTTAGGCAAACGAAGACAAAATAAAACTGAGTCCTGTCTGATCAGGGGAGGCAACTCATAAAAAATGAGTACACAATGACACTTGTCTCACCTCATTCAGCATGCAAGAAAACACACTTGTGGTCTTGTTGCACACGACGACTGGGGAGCTGGAGACGTGAACAGCCGTCATCACATAGTACACGGGAGTCCCTGGACACACAGACAACATGCATCAGACAAATAAGGAATACCGAAATTCCAATTAATATGGTTAAATAAAGCCCCTGAGCGCTCATTCGATATACTTCTTGATCCCCAGGCGAGCCTTCCATTATCATGCTATGTACGTTTGTTGTTTAATTATAACGCCGACCTCAGCCATATTCAAGCTGTTTGACAGCGGTCTGTAAATAATCGAGTCTGGACAAGACATTCCAGTGATTTACATCATGAGTATCGATGTACTCAATTGGGATACGATGACGTGCATCAACCAAGTCAGCGCGCCTGACCACCCGATCCCTTTAGTAGCCTCTTACGATAAGCATGGGTTACTGAAGACCAATTCTAACCCAGATCTTCACGGGTGTTCTTTTTTTTAGCATCATTGGGCATTTGCGAAGTAAGACACGTTTTATTACAATGTTGATCTTGATTATCGATCAGAATGGGCATCGCCATTTTGTTTGTAGCAAATGTAAGTGATATGAGAAGTGAAATCTCATTGGTCAATTGGGGGGACATACAAGGGACATAACTCGCGAAAGCCAAGAAATTCCAGCGGAGTTCGGCAAGGGTGGAAACTGGATTTTTACAGTCAGTTAATCAGCTCACTCACTCAAGTAAGAATACGTACCTGGTCCTAGAGTTGTGGTACAGGTGATAGCGGATCCTGTGGGGAACTTCACATTGATCCCGTCCAGACCATCCAACAAGGGGCCGCCGACGGGAACGTCAGGCTGGTACTGACACATGTAGGACGTGGAGGTCAGAGGGATGTAACTGCCGGCCTGGGAAACAGAGAGGTATAGCGGTATAATCTCGCTAGTGTCCATTACAGCTTTAGACAGTCCATTACGTTAGCTCTCCAGCGAAAACTCTGAATTTGGAGACGTAACTATAAGCTAGTGACGGAATCTACATTAGTATAATGGGCCATCATGGACACATTATTTGTTGTTTAACGCCGCACTCAGCAATATTCCAGCTACACGACGATGGGCTGTAAACAAACGAGTTTGGACCGAACAATCCAGTGATTGACATCATGAGTATCGGTCTCCTCGGTTGGGATACGATGACATGCATCAACCAAGTCAATGAGCCTGGTCACCAGATCACGTAAGTCGCCTCTTACGACAAGCATAGTTGCTTCTTACGACATGCATGTGTTACTGAAGACCTATTTTAACCCGGATCTGCATGGGTATGGCAAATCATAACATCCACTTACAAACAAAGTTGCGTTGATACTGGAACCACCATTGGCCATGGTGAGTTGGGCAACGAAGTGACCGTCCGAGGCGGGAGTGTAGCTGTGGATTTCGACTGGGGTTCCAGCGGTCAAGGCAGGAACAGTTACAGTGACCGGGGGAGAACCATCGCCCTGGTTTATTGTCACTATGGCATTAGTCGGCATAGGATTGGTAGCGCATTCTACGAAGAATTTAATTGGATCTGAAATGCAAAATACAAACTATATCATTTTTTTATCAATGAGAGAGTATGGATTTACGCCGCGTTCATGAACATAAAAAATGGGCTTCCCGCATGGTACTGATATAAAAAACCCAACCCGGTTCATCCACGTGGAGGACGAAGCTGTCGTGATGAATCTACCTCTCCATCCCCACGGCAATTATGACAACAGAACAGAGCACAACATCAGGTATCCTGAAACCACAGTCAAACACCGTTGTGTCGAAGGTGAAGGGACATATATAAATAAGTCGAGTAATATGAGGTTCGACACAGCCGAATTATGAACATGGCATACATTTATCGATTTGCATAAAGCATGAACAACACGAAACATGCGACAAACAAACAACGAGAAAATTAAACAAATGTCCAACATTACTTTTATCATTATTGACAATAATGAAAAAGTAGGTAATTGAATCAATAACATACAAAAATATGTTGATGTATGTACCATTAACAATACAAAATGCATACCCATAATAAAAATATCAGCGAGATCTACCTACGTGTTCTGGAAGTACATGTTTGGGAGTGGAAAATGACTTCGAGATAACAGTAACTACTTCGACACATCCGAATCGACAGTGGTTAAATAATGATGAATAAAGAAGGAAAACGCAGGGACCAAGCTTTCAGTTCTTGACAACCATAATTTCGACACATCAAAGTTCGACACAACGTTGTTCGACACAACGGTGTATTACATGGGACTCTGGGTTAGAGCCCTATGCCGGGATCCCGGGGATCACATAATATTCCTAGTTAACGGTCATGCCTGTTACTCAACCCATCGTCCCCATGCTGGATGGTCTAAAGATGCAGGTCTAAATTAATTCTAAGAGGTCAAGCAAAGCTTAATAATTCATCTTGAAATTAAATACGTGGATGACTAATGATAGTGGCTTTTTCATTACGAGATATCGTTCTTTGTAACATTAACTTACATTCCATCTTTGTTCTAATTATTCATTGAGAGTGTGCTAGAAGTAAACAAGCTGTGACACTCCTCAGGGTCGGTCCTAAGACACAATGCGTATACTTATATACGTTGGTTGGTTTGTTTGTTGTTTTACGCCGCACTCAGCAATATTCCAGCTATATGACGGCGGTCTGTGTAAATAATCGAGTCTGGACCAGACAGTCCAGTGATTGTAATCATGAGCATCGATCCACGCAATTGGGATCGATGACATGCATCAACCAAGTCAGTGAGCCTGACCACCCAATCCCGTTAGTCGCCTTTTACGACAAGCATAGTCACCTTTTACGGCAAGCATGGGTTGCTGAAGACCTAGTCCACCCCGGATCTTCACTAATATACGTAATAGCCATGGTAGGCTACTTCCTCTTGTGTCGATAGTATAACCATTGCAGCCTACTTACTGTTGTGCCTACTGAGAATGTTATAACCATGACACTCTACTGTGTCCTATGACGTATACGTTATAACCACGTTACGCCACTTACTGTTGTACGGTATTAAGCCGGTTACAACCATGACTAACCACACGGGACGCTTCATACGTTTGCGCCGAACTAAATATATGATATAACCATGACACGCTAAATACTATCATGTCTATTTTATAACCATGACACGCTACATACTTCGTCTATCTTAAGACAATGACACGCTACTTGCTGTTGCGCCCAACTAAATCTATGATACGTAGTGCCCAACAACGCCTATCTTACAGGGATGACGCGCTACTTACGTTCGTACCCCATTAAGTTTGTTATAACCATGACAAACTACTTGCCATACTTAGTCCATGTTATAACCATGGTGCACTTCTCACTCATGTGCCCCAATATAATCTACGATATAGCCATGGCCCTCTTCGCACTAATGTACACAACTACAGTCTACGATATGGCCACGGTGCACTTCTCACTGACATGCCCCACTACAATCTACGATATAGCCATGGCCCTCTTCGCACTAATGTACACCACTACAGTCTGCGATATGGCCACTGCGCACTTTTCACTCATGTGCCCCACTATAATCTACGATATAGCCATGGCCCTCTTCGCACTAATGTACACAACTACAGTCTGCGATATGGCCACTGCGCACTTTTCACTCATGTGCCCCACTGCAATCTACGATAAAGCCATGGCACTCTTCGCACTAATGTACACAACTACAGTCTACGATATGGCCACGGTGCACTTTTCACTCATGTGCCCCACTATAATCTACGATATAGCCATGGCGCTCTTCGCACTAATGTACACAACTACAGTCTACGATATGGCCACGGTGCACTTTTCACTCATGTGCCCCACTATAATCTACGATATAGCCATGGCGCTCTTCGCACTAATGTACACAACTACGATATGGCCACGGTGCACTTTTCACTCATGTGCCCCACTGCAATGTACGATATAGCCATGGCGCTCTTCGCACTAATGTACACCACTACGATATGGCCACGGTGCACTTTTCACTCATGTGCCCCACTGCAATCTACGATATAGCCATGGCGCTCTTCGCACTAATGTACACAACTACAGTCTACGATATGGCCACGGTGCACTTTTCACTCATGTGCCCCACTGCAATCTACGATATAGCCATGGCGCTCTTCGCACTAATGTACACAACTACAGTCTACGATATGGCCACTGTGCACTTTTCACTCATGTGCCCCACTGCAATCTACGATATAGCCATGGCGCTCTTCGCACTAATGTAAACAACTACAGTCTACGATATGGCTACGGTGCACTTCTCACTGACATGCCCCACTACAATCTACGATATAGCCATGGCGCTCTTTGCACTAATGTACACAACTGCAGTCTACGATATGGCCACGGTGCACTTTTCACTCATGTGCCCCACTGCAATCTACGATACAGCCATGGCCCTTTTCGCACTAATGTACACCACTACGATATGGCCACGGTGCACTTTTCACTCATGTGCCCCACTGCAATCTACGATATAGCCATGGCGCTCTTCGCACTAATGTACACAACTACAGTCTACGATATGGCCACGGTGCACTTTTCACTCATGTGCCCCACTGCAATCTACGATATAGCCATGGCGCTCTTCGCACTAATGTACACAACTACAGTCTACGATATGGCACTTCTCACTCATGTGCAACATTAAGCCTTCTGTAACTAACCTCGACCACCTTCACGATAGGCAGTAGTCGTACTTACTGTTGTAGGTAACGGGATAGTTCGTAGACAGGACACAGTCATTTGTGACAGGATTATCCACTTCTATTTGATAAGTCGCCGTCTCAAACTGAAGTGGAGTCGTTATGTCGCATGTGATGGTCTTTGTTCCTAGTGTACTGTACGTTACCAGTTGTACATCTTCACCGTTCTGTCCCGAACCTGGAGATTAATGCAGTGGGTTGATTTTCACGTAGTTTTAAACAATATTGTGTGTAAGGTTGTTGTGTGAGTAACGCAAGGGTGACGCAGGTAGTGGACGTATGCCACTTTGGTTTTGCACGGGTAGGATTTGTTCATTTGATTTGAATATTCAAGATATGCTACATCCTAAACATCCATACTCGTACATTGCCCTGTAAATGTATGTTAGGCTTGTGTTTAAGAACCTAAACGTATTCAGTGAAGGCGGCCTGTAAATAATCAAGCCTGAGCCAGACAATCCAGTGATTGATATTGTAAGCACCGCCGACGCCTACAGTGTCACGCAACAAAACCGTCGAGTCTCACCGTGCCACCCGATTCATTTAGTCGCCTCTTACGACCAGTGCAATTTTCTGGGTACCTATCACAACCCGGAATCCACACAGGGCACACAGATAGACCCACAATCATAATCAGGGCGAAAGTAGGTCCGAACTTATGTTCAGCGGATCCTGACAGGGAGAGGCAGCCATTGATCATTTGACAACACGTGTCTACATGATGTAACACAGGCAATGCTCAGATCATCTTGAAAGAAGATTCTAACATAATGAGTGAGTGAGTGAGTGAGTTGGGTTTAACGCCGCTTTTAACAATATTCCAGTTATATCGCGGCGTGTCAGCTTCATGTGGGAGGAAAGCCCGAAGTGATGCAGGTCTCAGACGTTTACCACTTCGGTGAAACCCACGAGCACGGGTATGGTGCTGACAAACCTAGAAACATAATTGGGGCGAACAGGGATTCGAACCCACAATCATAGGTTTCTGGCATGCCCAAGGGACGCAACTCTGCACAGCGAATCGCGGCGCCTTGGACGACTGGGCCACCCGTGCCCCCGATTCTAACATAAACAAGAAGGATTGATTTTTTCAAAGGAAAATAACATAACAGTTCAGGAAACATATACCTTTCTTGAGGAGAACGAGTCTAAATAATGTTTTGGCAACATGACTTGTTATAACTGTATAATAAATTCATGAGGAATAAATTAGAATGTCACTTTTATCAATAAGTTCACAAAAAATAAATCGATGTTACCTGTTCGTTGCCAGGTGGACATTACAGTTCAGGAAAGATATACCTTTCTTAAGGAGAACGAGTCTAAATAATGTTTTGGCAACATGACTTGTTATAACTGTATAACAAATTCATAAGGAATAAATTAGAATGTCACTTTTATCAATAAGTTTACAAAAAATAAATCGATGTTACCTGTTCGTTGCCAGGTGGACATTACAGTTCAGGAAAGATATACCTTTCTTAAGGAGAACGAGTCTAAATAATGTTTTGGCAACATGACTTGTTATAACTGTATAACAAATTCATAAGGAATAAATTAGAATGTCACTTTTATCAATAAGTTTACAAAAAATAAATCGATGTTACCTGTTCGTTGCCAGGTTTGTGCTCCACTGCCATCGCCAAAGTCGCAGGAGATATTTGCAAACAGACCGCTAGGCCCACGGTACATCATGACCTTGATGTTTGCAGCCTGACTTAAAATAGCACCAGGAGGATCAGCTGTGACGACCAGATCCTCAACGGGATCGATGACACACATTTGGCGGTCTGTGAAGTTCTTGCCACTTACTTCGTTCCAGATACGAGCTGTAATGGGATAGCACCCAGGGTCCCTGTACTCATGGGTATAGTTGAAATCCATTTGAAGAGGATCTGTGGAGCGAAAGTTATCACCAAAGTCGAACTCAGCTGTAGCCTCATTTGGCGTCCCTCCTGTTGTTTCAAAGGAGAAAGCTCCAATACCAGGGGGTGCAAAGAATATGGTTTCTCGGTGGACAAGTTCGACGTCAACGACACTCTGAATAACGAGGACTGAGTGGTGTTGACTTTCAGAGCGATCGTTATTAGCACACGTGATGGTGACATTGAACAGCTCTCCTGTGGCGAAAGAATGGCTACGTTGTTCGACCAGGTTGGTACGGATAGCCCAGTCAGCTGGTCCTTCATCGTGGGTATCGACTGGGGTTCCGTCATCGAAGTCCCATGTACATACAACGTTTGATCCTTCTGCCATTGTAACACTGCACGTTACAGGGATACTGGTGCCGGTCTTCGCAAGGTCACAGTTACTGGAAACATTCTTCATTGCAGTTTCTATGGTGAAGTCTTCAGTTATGTTTCTCGAACCAAGCATGTTGGTCACTGTCAGAATAAGAGGATATTTGTTCGCCATCTTCCCAGGAAGAATTGCTGTCTGCCATTTCTTAGTGACAATATCTCCAGACTCAACAGGAATGATGACGCTATCAAAATCCAAATTAAATACGCAGTCTGATCCTTGTGTCAATGTCCATTCGATTCTGAAGCTAACTAGTTTCTCAGCTCCGGTTCTGACCAATGCCAACCCAAGACATTCTTCCTGCACGACCACAGTGAAGATGAAGATGAGAGAGCTAACGTGGTTTGAGCAGTTAGCAGTTACGGTATAGTTACCACCAACGGTGAAGACATGATTCACGATGCCGTTGTGACCGTAGTCGGCCTCCAGTGTGGTGTTGGTCGTGGAGTCGCCGTAGTCCCAGTCGATGGTGTAGTCCGATCCCCCTGTTAACTGGATGGTGAAAGGGCAGTTGCTGAGGGTCACACAAGGGCTGTACAAGACTGTGAAGCCATCAATTCTGTCCTCAACTATGACTGTTGTGATGTTGGATTTACTGGTCAGTTGATTCCAGGATATTGCTGAGACATTATATTCGCCCTTTGCTGTGAAGGTGTGGTTGTAGTGGTCGGTGGTAGTATCATTAATGGATGACCCATCGCCAAAGTCCCAGTTGCGTTTCACGTTGGTTCCTGATGGAAACAAACACTTCCAATGCAGATGGTTTAAACATTCACACAAAAATTGAATCAATCCTTATACAAACATAATTATAGATTGTTACTATATTTTTGTAACGTAGGGGCGATGGAGTAGCCTAGTGGAAAAAGCATTTGCTCGTAACGAGACTTCATGGGTACAATGTGAAGCTCATCCTACCATGATATTGTTTTAATATTGCATTAGGCGGCGTAAAACGTTACTCACTCACTTTCTGTTATCTGATCTCGTTAGATTGTTACACGTTAAACTTACTGAATGCGTTATTAGAATACATGTTGAATGTTTGGGATATGGCCGATTTTTCCAAACTGTCTTAAACGTTGAAATTCGTTAATTGTGGTAAGCTGCGACAGGCTGAAACTTACAGAATACCTTACCTGTGTGCGGGAGGATGTTTAACGTCCCTTCCTCGTTTGTGACCCAATACATGGGGGCGTCAATGATAGTAGCATTAATGCCTTGCAGAACCTCGATCTCGGTGACGTTCAGTTCAGAGAAGGGAATATCGATGTTACTGACGTTGGTAGTCAGAGGGTAGGTACCAGCCGTGGTGAAGGTGTAAGTGAGGTATACCTTTGTCTGACTTGAGAAAATGGCTTTCAGATGATGGCGGGTATTTGGCATCGAGATGCCACCAGTTTTGGCAAAATTGGTTGTGGTAGGTGGATACTTCCTGTCACACTCTGTCTGGTTGTAGGACACTGTAAGTGCAGCTGATCCTGCTGATTTTCTGTAGGCGATGATGTCTCCGGGGTATACATGGGTGTAGTCTTGGGAGTCAATGACTTGATAACCAGTGGCCGTCAGTGTCAGCGTGAGTGTCTGGCGGATGGTGTAGTCAGATAGGGGTGCGGCACATGGGTGCCTGTCGAGAGGGGTACATCCTGTGGAGCAGCTCTGAGCTCTGGGGCAGAAAACGTTGGGGCTTGTGCAAGTCATTCCTGCACACGCTCCACATGCGTTTGTTTCGTAGCAGTATGGGGTGCAGTCGGGTTGTAGGATCTATAAATAGATATAAACACAATAATTAAAACAAAAAAAACCCAGTTATGATAGAACACAGTTCAACGTTAAGCATCAGAAGTTTAATAATAGTTAAATCCCAGGGATATTATATAGAAAGTTCCCACTCCCAGGCACACTCTACAGAAAGACCCTCTGCCTCAGGGATATTATATAGAAAGTTCCATAGTCCTATGGATATTATATAGGAATTTCCCCTGTCCCCCTGTCCAAGGGATATACCAAAAAAAGTCTCCCTGAACCAGGGATATTCTATAGAAAGTTCCCCTGTGAAAGGGATATTCTATAGAAAGTTCCCCTGTGAAAGGGATATTGTTTAGAAAGTCCCTATTGCCCAGTTATATTCTATAGGAAGTGTCCAAGTGATATTCTGTTGAAAGTTCCACAGTCCCAGGGACATTCCGTAAAAAGTGTCCCTGTCGGAGTGACATTCTATAGAATGTCCCCCTGTCCCAGGTATAGTATGCAGAAAGTTCCCTGCCCCAGTATTATTATATAAATAGGAAGTTCCCTGTCCCAGTGGTATTGTTTAGACTGTTCCCCTGTCCCAAGACTATTCTGTAGAAGTTCCTCTTGTCCAAAGGATATCGTATAGAATGTCTCCCTGTCCTAGGGATATTTCAGTAGAAGTGCCCAGGTCGGAGTGACATTCTATAGAATGCCCCCCTGTCCCAGTGTTATTATATAAGTTGGAAGTTCATTGTCCTAGTGATACTGTTAAGAATGTCCCCTGGCCGAAGGATATTCTGTAGAAGGTCCCTCGTTAGATAAAATATATATTTTTGCTGTCAAACACAATCTACATAACACATATTACAATGCTAACTCAAGGATATGTGCAGACTGACCCTAAGTCATATATAAAATATTACTTATATCTTAGTGGGATCGAACATGCAACCTTTGTATTTGTGGCTCAGTGAGAGTGACTTAGTGTGAACAGAGGCACTAAAATGTGAATATGATTTTCAAGTCCATGTTTGCCAGAAAGCGATATATTACGTCCGTTTCCTAAGGTTCATGGAAAGTGTGCTAGAAACATAATTTTTTTTATAAATGTTGAAAAAATCCTTTTTCTCTCGGGTTTGGTTCAAAATGTTAAGCCCCGGGTCTCGGGTCATTGATGTTACATTATCAAACTCACCCTCGGGAGCATGTTATCATCTATGTCACAGGTTCAGACCACCGATCAAGGCGCCCTTACACAACGAACGTTGGGTACAGAGAACACACGGGGCAATTTTAGACCTACTTACTGACCGCCGTAACGAATGAACCAAATTCAATTGATCATCATCATAGTCGGCTCTTCCAGCTAGCACTGAGGACTCACAGGAGTCCATTGAAGAAGTACTTGTTGAGCTACCTTCGTTCTTATCTGTAGAAAACGAGTTACAACCACGCTGATAATGGTTTATCATATAAAATTTATGCCTAGACGGTTGCATGACTACCTAAATTGACTGACTAAATTGGGAACCCATTGGGATCCCGTGACAGACTTGTCCTTGTGATGGCCGTACGAGGCGACTACATGGACGGGGTTGTCATACTCGGTGACTTGGTGGACTGCACGTCGACGTACGAAGACGGCGTGGATCATGATATCAATCACTGGAGACCTACCAAGAGTATGAGTGTCCCAGTCGTCTCTGCCCAGAGCTCCCAGTGTGTGACCACGCCCTCGTACTTAAACTCTGAGGCGTACATCATGTAGTCCTTGTCCTCGGTTGTGGCCACTTGCGGGTCGTTGGTCGAAGGCACGCAACAACCAGCACCATCCACAATCGGGTCTGTGGATGCGAAAATGTTGAAGAAATGTTTAGTCAGTGTTAAAATAAAAACAAATGTCCTCCCTAAAAATATTTCAGAAGAATGAGATAAAAGCCTCCATTATTTTACGTTACTTTGATATAATATTGATCTATTAGGTAAAAATAGGTAAATAATAATTTTGATGTAAACTTATATAAGAGTGAGTGAGCGAGTACGGTTTTTACGCCGCTTTTAGCAATATTCCAGCAATATCACGGCGGGGGACACCAGAAATGGGTTCACACATTGTACCCATGTCGGGAATCGTACCCGGGTCTTCGGCGTGACGAGCGAACGCTTTAACCACTAGGCTACCCGACCGCCCCCTTATATCATAGCGTGTATCTTTTTACACATGTTTGCGTAGGGATACAAAAAGGGATTTAAGTTTTCATTGAGTAGAGTCATGATCATATATTGCTGTTATCATTCACTCGAGCTCTGATTTCCAGTGGGTTGTGTTTGACATTTCTACCTGCAACGTCAATTGTCCTGTCCGTGCCATCCACATTGTCTGTCAGACGGAGATGTGTCCCTTGGGTGATGATGGCGACACACTTGTCTTCTTCGTCCGTTATGAACAGGGGACACTCCACAGTGATGTTCTTGACGGGCGCCTGCACCACCAACCCTGCTACGTTAGACTTGGGCTGCAAACCAGAAGAGTCATTTTCTCATACGTAATGACAAGTGACGTTTTTGATGAAACAAGCATTAGATTTTCCCTGAAATTCGACACCCGGAAATGTCATTAGAATCCCATGGCGCCAGTTAAGATTTGAATCTATATGAAAGAATCAAATATATCAACAAATACTGTTCATCGGGATGATAAATTTAAAAACATCGATTTTGTTTCCGTAGAGTTCTCAAACAGCAGTGAGACATACATGGCAGCATTGTGGAATGTGTAAACAGCATCAACGGATGACGCCATATGTTGTGTAGAAGCCACGTTTGCACGTCCACAAATTTGCGACTGAGAAATGAAACGATTAAATTATATTCATGACGGTTGCATATATACTCCGTGTATAATTTGGAAGACATCCGGACTGCAAATGTCGTTTACAAAGTTAATAATCAGATTATATCGTAAACTCGCATTTTTAAATAATTTGTGTTTTGCTTCAGGCAGTCACGCATGATTTATTAAACGGCGGCCTGCATGACTGATCGTGCATGGTGCAGTACACCATTAGCAACGAGGATACAAATCAGCTGAGTCACGTTCTAAGTATCCATTGTGCCCACTTCGATAACAGACTGTTTCACAAGTATCCGCGAAAACATTACAAAACGTACTGTTTTCAGGAATAGAACCTGCATTCATTGCTAAGATATGTACCGTAAACCTGCATTCATTGCTAAGATGTGTACTGTATACCTGCATTCATGGCTAAGATATGTACCGTAAACCTGCGTTCATGGCTAAGATATGTACCGTAAACTTGCATTCATGGCTAAGATATGTACCGTCAACCTACATTCATGGCTAAGATATGTACTGTAAACTTGCATTCATGGCTACGATATGTACCGTAAACCTGCATTCATTGCTAAGATATGTACTGTAAACCTGCATTCATGGCTAAGATATGTACCGTAAACTTGCATTCATGGCTAAGATATGTACTGTAAACCTGCATTCATGGCTAAGATATGTACTGTAAACCTGCATTCATGGCTAAGATATGTACCGTAAACCTGCGTTCATGGCTAAGATGTGTACTGTATACCTGCATTCATGGCTAAGATATGTACCGTCAACCTACATTCATGATTGAGATATGTACCGTAAACCCTCATTCATGGCTAAGATATGTACCGTAAACCTGCATTCATGGAGAAGATACATACGGTAAACCTTCATTCATGGCTAAGATATGCACTGTAAACCTGCATTCATGCCTAACATATGTACCGTTAACCTCCATTCATGGAGAAGATGCATACGGTAAACCTGCATTCATGGAGAAGATACATACGGTAAACCTGCATTCATGGAGAAGATACATAGGTAAACCTGCATTCATGGAGAAGATGCATACGGTAAACCTGCATTCATGGAGAAGATACATACGGTAAACCTGCATTCATGGAGAAGATACATAGGTAAACCTGCATTCATGGAGAAGATACATAGGTAAACCTGCATTCATGGAGAAGATACATAGGTAAACCTGCATTCATGGAGAAGATACATTACGGTAAACCTGCATTCATGGCTATACATGCAATTCCATGTGTATACATGCACACGTTTCAAACAGTAATCTTCCGGAAGACGGGATTTCCGGATAAATGGGTCTGGCTACAGACGGACAACTATCATCAATGATAATCCGGATACTTAAAGGGGTCTGGTCTACAGGGTGTGCACTGTACATGTATGTGTTATCATCAATGACAATCCGGATACTTAAACAAACACAGACTTACCACAATGGCGCCAGCAGTGTCCATAGCAGTGACAATTGCGTCATGCTGACCAGGGATCGCATATGTCTTCGTCAACATACCCGTAGCGTTGTTTTTCATGTCACCGTTGCCGTCATCGTAGTTCATCTGATACGTCAAGATCCCGCCAGCGTCGACGTCAATAGAAAAGGTCACCGCCTCTCCCGTCGTGGCGAAGCTTGGACTGACGCTCAGATCTACCCTTTTGATGGGTTGGGCCGACTGGTAAACACTGAGGTACGTCTCCCCCCCGCACATCTGAGCCGCATCCCCGGCACATGGCGTGGAACAGTTGGAGGTGCCGGTGATGAAGGCAGCGTCGGGTTCGTTGTCACCGCAGAAACAGAATCGACCTGCTATCAAGCCTGCATATATTGCTTGATACGCTCCGCACAAGTTGGTACATATTTCTACGGTGAGGGCGTTGGGATCATAGTAGCCAGGGCTGAGCGGAAGATGGCGGTTCCTGATGTCTTCTATGTAACACCCATGGAGGCTACCTGCAATGGAGAAAGCGTGTATGTTGATATTACAACAGCAAATAATCGGGTTTAGATGTCACAGTGCTGTCAGCTATAATTCACACTAATACCAAGGAGTTTCCCCGTCGGAATTCTGGGGCAGAATAGCTCCGCATGCTTTTTGAATAGACTGAAATGGGAATTGTGTGGTTATAATGTAGGACACTAAGATGGTCGTAACTCATGCTGTAACGAAGGTTTAGGACAATCGCAGCGCTAAGTAACGTCTTGAGCAGGTTTTAGATGAGTGCGTCTCATCTTAACGGGACATCCTAGATCGCTGCTCAAATCACTGGTTTCAAAGGCCCAGCCTCGATAATAAGATGAAGTTATAACTGCTGTGAATGCTTAAAGCATTTGTATTAGAAGAATATTGTATATTTCTATAGCCAACGGGGATTTGGAATTATTTCATGTATTTCTCCACGCCCAAACTGACACCTAGCATGGCTGGGGTGGATCGAGTAGATATGTAAATACTAATGAGTATGTAGATACTGATTCTGTCCGGCATCTGGTTTTAGGCCAATCAGAGGGCACCTGTGTCGCAGGCGTCTCACGCAAGTTGCGTCTCTCAGACGTGTTAGAAACCTATGGTTATGGGTTCGAATCCCACATCCGACCTAAGTATATATTTCTAGATATGTCAGTGGATTTTACTAAAATGGTGACCGCCCGTGGTTTAGTGGAGGGAGTGTCCACCCGGAGAGCGGAAGGTAGTGGGTTCGATCCCCGACCGTGGTATACCAAAAGATGTTAAAAGATGGTACTTTTTGTTACCCTGCCTGACGCTCGGCATTAAGGGGTTAAAACAAGGCCTAGTCGGCTCGGAGTCAGTATACTGTATTCATGTTACACTGTGGCATGATATCATAGGTAGCTAGCACTGTAAAATCGGCATTAGTCCAGGCTAGTACAAGCAGCCACACACACAAACACACGTGCATGCACGTCGCTATATGGGTGCAATAAATCGTGACGTCACCTCACCTAAATAAAGTGGTAAACGTCTAGCACCTGCACCACGTCGGGCTTTCGACTGACTGACTCGCCTTAATGGAACTTAAATAATCTTTAAATCGGCGTAATACGAAAACTTTTGTATCTAATTTTATATCTAATCGATACCTCTGATGGAACTGCATTGTGTTAGATACGCGGCTTTAGAGAAAGTGCTTTGGGTATTCTTTTTTTAATTTTTTAAAACACAATATAGGTAGTTCTCAAAGTTCTTCTTATTTCTCTATTCTATATCCATACTGAATTTCGAATTTACTATATATACTCTCTTTGTTGAAAGATACGTGTCCCGTTTGGGATTTCGGATCAAAACACGGTCCCAATATCCAAAGTAAGAGCCCTCTAATGAGGTCCGGCTGCTTGTGGTTTGCGATCATGCTGTCAACCACTTGTCTGACCCAGACCTGATTTTTTACGTGCTGTCGCGATATCGTTGGGTTGTGTGACCTAAAACAATTTTGGCTCTCTCATGTGGTAGAACTGTGAACGGTGACAACTTACATACCTGAGCGTATCGTTGTTCGAAGCGGTCGTATAATATGATATATCGTTCATAGCGATGCAGTGTACACGTAACTATATTGCATTTGGGGAATAAACGTGATATATATTGGGATTAACGCGGTATGTTTGCGGAATTATCGTGATATATTTTCGGGATTACCACGGTTTGTTACAGTAATTACCCTGATTTGTTTCCGGGATTACCGCGGTATGTTTGCTGAATTACGACGGTATGGTTGTGGATTTACCGCGGTATGTCTGCGGAATTGTCGCGGCATGTTTGCGGGATTACCGCGGTATGTTTGCCGGATTACCGCGGTCTGTTTGCCGGATTACCGCGGTTTGTTTGCCGGATTACCGCGGTCTATTTGCCGGATTACCGCGGTTTGTTTGCCGGATTATCACGGTATATTTGCGGGATTACCGTGTTATGTTTGCGGAATTACCGCGGTATAGTTGTGTATTTACTGCGGTATGTCTGCGGAGTTGTCGCGGCATGTTTGCGGAATTTCCGGGATTTGTTTGCGGGATTACCGCGGTATGTTTGAGGATTTACCGTGTTATGTTTGTGGAATTACCGCGGTATGGTTGAATGTGTATTTACCGCGGTATCTCTGCGGTGTTGTCCCGGCATGTTAGCGGAATTGTCGCGGGATATTTGTGGAAATAAGGTGGTATGTTTCCGGAATTACCGCGGTATGTTTGCGGAATCACTGCGATACTTTAACCTCACAGTACCTGTGTACAGCAAACATTTCCCGGCCTTAGTCTTGCCCAGTATTTTAAACTCAAAATACCCCACAGGCATCACCTTTCCGAAGTTCAAGACCTACACTATCCCGAAACAAAGGTAAACATAAGAGTCTGTCTAGAGGCCCTAAGTTTCCGATACGTTCATCCATTGTCCTGATCTGCACTAATATAACGGGTCAGAAGGTTTGAATGACCCTCGCGTATGTTCTTCAAGCCGATCTGAGCACCGCACCGATCGTATAATATGTTCTGTCATGTTTAGATCCAACAAACATCGATACACTGGTTATAGATCTGAGGCCTCTTTTATTCCTACCCCGAACGCGTTGCTGTCAGCAACCTTTCAGAGTATGGCTTTAAGCAACGTCGACGGATGTAACACTAAGTAACGATGTTGTCCTTCACCGTACACGTTGCTCTGTGGAGCCTTGAAAATCTACAACCAGTTTAACAGGTTTTAGAACGATCTATATGTGTGTCTAACAGAGGGGAAAGGAGAGTTAATTTCCATGCTTTAAATATTTTTTATCGATTCCCATAGAGTCAGTAAAACGTTGAATGTGAGTGAATGTGTTGTGTTGATGACGACAGATCAATCGGCGTGTGACGTTGCCATAGAGACACGACACAGTCAGGGTGATCGATATTGATCCATAATTCTATCTAGAAAAAAAACATCTCTCGTATGCAAGTCAAAGCTTTCCACGTTTTATAAAACTGTATTGATTTGTTGGCATATTATATTTTGTGTAAACAAAATAATAGCTGTGAAATATATCACGGATAAAGGGCGAGGTGACAGATCGATTTTGAAATGACGTACTAGATGTCACGAACAGCGCGAGGTTCTCAGAAATCGTAGAACGAAGTCGTGATGTTTTGAGAGGTTTCATTCTTGTTTCATGAATTATGAATTATGGCGAAAGTGGTAGAACATCATTCAATTAACAAACCATGTCAAAGTCTTCTCCAACACTCTTTGATATGGTCACGCTACGGTATAGGTAACCAGAAGGCGGTGCCTAGGGCACTTCCAGTAAGATCAATATGATAAATAGGTGAGTGAGTACAAGTACGCCGCTTCGAACAGTATTTAAGATAAAGGTCAACATAATTTCAGAAAACAAGAAGGGATGCAGGTCATAGACCTTTAATGACGAAACCAACGGTGACGGGTAAAAGTTGACAAACGTAGGAGTATGATTGAAGAAAATCGAACCTAAACGGATCCCTGAATTGCTAAGGGACACAACTCTGCTCAGCGAATCGCTGAGCCCGATTTTGCTTGTGCTGTATAAACCTGATACGCGGGCAAATATGGAATGAATGAATGAATGAATGAATGAATGAATGAATGAATGAATGAATGAATAGTATTTTACGCCGCATCAGCAATTTTCCAGCTATTCGCAGCTAGGCAAAAAAGGACATTATGATCTTTGTGTAGGAAAGATACCAAAGTATTAGAACAACATTAATTGTGTGAAGATTCATTTGTTCGGGCGTTTACAAGTTGACATCCTTTGTCATTATTTAGAGTAAAAGGTATGTTGTTAATTATCCATTACGATATAGCGGTGAGCAGAATATCTGTAAATGAGTAAGATAGTCAATTATTTAGTTGAAATTAATTGAGTTCTTGGGATGCTAGAATAGAGTAAGGATATTGTATTTACATTAGTTTCCTTTTGCCACCCATTTCCCGATGCCCAGAGCTAAGATTGGTTGGTTGTTTAACGCCGCACTCAGCAATATTCCAGCTACAGTAAGGTACGGTTATAACGAACTCAAAGGGACTACTAATTTTAGTTCGTTATAACCGTAGTTCGTTGTAAGCATATATACAGCATAACAACAGCAAATAGTCGGGACCAAAAAAGTAAGTTCGTTATATCGTCAGTTCGTTATAAGCGTGTTCGTTATAACCGTTGTTTGCTGTATATGACGGCGGTTCCCAGAGCTAAGAAGCTTCCTAAGTACTGTCGTGTTTTGAGGGATTATTATATTCTGAGTTTAAAAAATAGTATAACAGATATTAATGAAAACAATAAATTAGCTTCAGGTTTTACAACTCGTTTCATGACTCAATGTTTCTCTGTGCATGTTTAATAAAACAATATCTGTTGTGAAAAAACAATTATTGTTCGGTTCCGTTCAGATATGTTTTAAAGCAATACCCAAAAACCTATTCTGTCGCCAACACAAATTCTAGGCTAACCAAATCTTGTCGAAATTCTTTGTTAACACATCCAGTTGTTAAACGTTACATTATACGACTACGAATAGGTCATCAGCTAATTTCACACCCCACAGTTCTACCGATATCTCATCGTAATTCGCACCCAGGCCGTGTCATACCTAAAGACGTTCAAGGCAGGTACATGTTGTTACCCTGCCTGGCGCTCGGCATTAAGGGGATAAAACAGGGACAGGTCGCCTCGGAGTGTGGGTAGGGCATCCATGTAAAACTGCGGCATGGTATCTCCGTTGACTAACATAACAAGACCGGTATAAGTCCGGTCTAGTATAAGTGTAAACGATCTAAATTTTCGGGTCAAAAAGTTTCCGGAAGGAAAAAATATTCATATGAGAAAATATTCCAGTGTCAGGAAGATACTGACTGTGGAAATAATATGTTGACAAAAATTTCCACTGTATATTGTTTCCTAGGGGGAATGAATTATCCTATTACACATGGACAT